GTGATACAAAACAGATTTTATATATTTAAATCAACCTAATTAATTATTCCAAAACAAATTAAATAATAAAAATAAAGTAACTATATTAATATTAGTGCTGGCGATTGTGTCAAAAATGTGTTGCGAAGCTAATTTTTTGGAATCCACAAATCAAAGGTAACATCTTATACTAATATTAATAGTTAAACCACAATGTCGAACGGATATAATCAATATCCATTTCCATACTCTCAATGTTCAACATCTAGCCAGATGAACCTCAGCGACCAAAACTTAACAGTTCAACAACTAGGATATTTTCCACAACAAATGCAAACGGGACCACATCCCGCATCACAAATCCAGCAAAATTTCGCACCAAGCCAGCTAAACCAGCCAATGCAGTTATATCAACCTCAATACCAGTATTCAGTCCAAAGTACATTACCACAATATCAACCCCCAAGCACATCGAAAGCAAATGATGAAGAATGGCAAATAGTACCAAATAAAAAACGTGGGAGAACCAGTCCGGAACAACACCCCAAACTTAAACAAACCAAGATAGATAACTACTGGCTCAACACACCAACAGCAAATAAATTTAATGTATTAATCAATGAAGAGACACACGAAGCAGATACTGAAGAGGAAAAACAAAAACAGGAAGAGAAGCCCCCACCAATATTTATTGCCGGTGTTAAATACATCCAACCATTAAACGAACTATTAAACACTATAGCCAAAGACAAACATTTAATCAGAGTGTTGAATGAAGAACAAGTCAAGGTACAGGCCCAAACAATTGAAATATACGACAGTATAATAAAAGCACTTGATGAGAAAAAAACCGAATATCATACATATCGTAAGAAGCAAGATAAACCCTTTAGAGTAGTGATTCGTCATCTTCATCCCACAGTGGATATAAACGAAATCAAAAAAGAACTAGAGAGCCAAGGACATATCGTTCTACAAATAACGAATATACTTCAAAGAACTACAAAAAAAACCTCTACCGCTATTTTTTGTGGACTTGAAAATACAAGAAAATAATAAAGAAATTTATCAGATAGAATATTTACTCAACGCAAAAATTGATGTCGAAGCCCCAAGACTAAAAAGAGAATTAGTACAATGTACCAGATGTCAAAGATATGGTCACACAAAAAATTTCTGCTATCATCAATACAGGTGTGTAAAATGTGCTCTAAATCACAAAACAACTGCAAGAAGCAAGATTTCCAACCTTAAGAAAGAAAGAGTCACAGAATCAACTACAAAACCAACAGCTACCAGTGGCTACAACAAATATAAGTACAACACAAAGACCTACATATGCCCAAATGATAAATACCAACCAACAAGATACTACAATGGTCACTCAGGCAAATGACATACAGGAGTTAAAGAATATGATAAAAGGGCTTATGGAACAAATGAGCACCATGCTAAACTTACTAACAACACTTGTCTCAAAAATGAACTAATGGCTAATACACTAAAATTTACCATATGGAATGCTAATGGCTTGACACAACACAAACACGTATGCATTTATAGTTAATCATCAATTAGACATAATACTGATTTCAGAAACACACTTCACGAAAAAAAGTTTCATAAAATTTCACAACTACAAAGTATATCACACAACACATCCAGATGGAACTGCACATGGTGGGACAGCAATCATTATAAGAAACAACATCAAACATTACCAGACAACTCACTATCAAAAAGCACATATTCAGGCCACAAATGTAGTTGTAGAAGACTGGACATGACCTATAACTTTTTCAGCTGTATATTGTCCACCAAAACATTCAATTCAACAACCAGAATTTAAAACCTTTTTTGATACACTTGGACCTAGGTTTATTTGTGGCGGAGACTACAATTCAAAGCATTTAATGTGGGGCTCTAGACTTATTAATACCAAAGGCCGGGAACTACAAAAAGAAATTATCATGGATAATCTAAACATAGTAACCACAAGGGAACCAACATACTGGCCTACAGACCCTGCAAAAATTCTAGATCTTCTCGACTTTGCTATAGTGAGAGGAATAAATGAAAAATACTTTAAACCAAAGTCCTGTTACGATTTATCCTCTGACCATTCACCTGTTATCATAACTGTAAGCAAAAACATAACAAAAATAGAAAGGAGCTGTATACTACACAACAACAAAACAAATTGGAGTTATTTTCGATATCAAGTAGACAATCAAATCAATTTAGACATCCCACTAAAGACAGATAAACAAATCGAACACGCAGTAGAACATTTTAACACAGTTTTACAGGAAGCAGCATGGAACTCCACACCATTACCTACACATCGACATATGAACAAAAACTGTTCCAATACAATACATGGAAAAATAATTGAGAAAAGAAGACTCAGAAAACAATGGCAATTAACAAGATCACCTCAAAGTAAAACAAACCTTAATAAAGCACAAAAAGACCTAAAAAAATTGATAATGGCAGAAAAAAATGCAAGTTTTCAAGAATACCTACAAAAACTAGATGCAACTCAAGCCACTGACTACTCGTTATGGAAGGCTACAAGGACTCTACGAAGGCAGAACTATACAGTCCCACCAGTAAGAACACAAACAGGACAATGGGCGAGAAGTCCACTAGAAAAAGCCGAAACATTTGCGACACACCTTAAAAAAGTCTTTACACCAAATGAGGGAAATTACTCACTACAAACTGAAGAAGAAATTATTTCGATACTCACAAAACCTTATCAACTAGAACTTCCCGAAAAAAGATTCACAAAAAATGAGGTAAAAAATATTATACAACACAACATCGATCCAAAAAAGGCTCCAGGATACGACCTGATTACGGGAAAAACTCTTCAGCAACTCCCAGAGAAAGGCTTCCAATTTCTGACACAGTTATTCAACTCTATAATGAGATTAGGCCACTTCCCATCACAATGGAAACTAGCACAAATAACAATGATACTAAAACCAGGAAAAGAACCAGAAAGTGTACAGTCCTACCGTCCTATCAGTCTTCTTCCAGTGGTATCCAAAGTTTTTGAAAAGCTGACACTTACTAAGCTAATGCCTATACTAGAAAACAAAAAACTAATACCACCACACCAATTTGGGTTTATAAAACAGCATTCAACGATACAACAGGTACACAGAATTGTAGAGAGAATCAACGAGGACTTTGAAAATAATAGGTACTGCTCGGCGGTATTTCTGGACGTAAGTCAGGCATTTGATAAACTCTGGCATAAAGGCTTATTATGTAAACTAAAACAAAATTTACCTACAAATTACTATATGCTCTTAAAGTCCTATATCACCAACAGAAACTTCCAGGTAAAGTATGAGAATGAATACACAAACATACAACAAATTCTCGCTGGGGTGCCCCAAGGAAGTGTACTAGGACCTATATTATACCTTATATTTACTGCTGACCTACCGACAGAAACACACATAACTACAGCTACATTTGCGGATGATACGGCAATAATATCGTCGAACAAAAATCCCAAAATAGCCTCAGAAATAATCTAAATCAAATCCAACAATGGATGACAAAATGGAGAGTCAAAATTAATGAAAACAAATCGCTACACCTAACATTTACCACGCGCAGGGAAACATGTCCGGCTGTTTACTTAAACGGTACAGGAATTCCACAAGGGGATGAAGTCAAATATCTAGGTATATACTTGGACAGAAGATTAAACTGGAGGAAGCATATATTTACTACGCGAAAACAACTGGGTCATAAGTTAAGAACCATATATTGGCTGTTGGGCAAAAAATCAAAACTATCAACCGAAAATAAAATATTAATCTACAAATCCATCCTAAAACCAGTGTGGACTTATGGGATAGAATTATGGGGAACCGCCGCACATTCCAACATTGAAATAATACAAAGATTCCAGTCCAAAACATTGAGATCAATACTAGGAGTTCCATGGTTCATAACCAATGAAGCCATTCATCGGGATGCCGGACTATCATATGTCAAAGATGACATCAAAAAGTGCGCGAAAAAACATAAAGAGAAACTTAAAGTGCACCCAAACGTGTTAGCAAAAAGTTTAGTGAATAAACCGCGTACTGTTCGTAGGCTAAAACGAAAAGTTCCGTTAGAGTTAAGTGAACAATAGGTTCTAAATTAATGTGTACAAGTCTATGTCAGAAATAGTCAGTGTTGTAGGCTAAGTTTTTAAAAAAAGGGGTGCATCACTGGATGCCTCCCTACATGTCATTCCAAATTATTGTCAGCCCTATTACTTATTGTCTATTATCTACCTAAATATTTAGGTTTAGATTGTACAGATAGATTGTAATCAATGTGGGGTTAATAAAAAAAAAATAATTGGTTGCCTAAACTGTATAAAAAAAAACAACTTGAGAGAATAAGTGCAAGTTCTGGTTCATCTTTACCGTCTACAAAAGCATACCCTAGCGGCCAAGTATCCATAAAAGTCAATAAAACGGGCCATATTAGGAAGTGTAAACCCTTTGTTGAAGAGGAACATCAACATTTCTTCGACACTATTCTATGGCCTACCACAAATTCTACAGATGAAAATGACGAGTGAGACAATGTAAAAACTATATTTTTCTTCTTTATTATGAATAAAGTAATGTTTGAATTACTTAATTCGTTTCTGTTTTGCACGTGTCACATTTTTTAAAATGTTATACTTATATTTCCAAACATAATTATACAGTAAAAGTATTGGTATTTACTTTTTGCCACAATTTAAGTAAGATAACTTGTTTCAAAAACCAGTTTTTTTTTAATTTCCCAAAAAGGTGTTTTTGACATGTGCTCTTTTTGCATATTCCGATTCAATTGTGCTTTCTCTTTTTCGGATAATTTTTCCTAATACTCCTTATAATGAACAACACAGCGTACTAAATTGATATGATTTCGAAAACTATAGAAAAATCATAACATCAAGAAATTTTAAAAAGAGAAAAACGAGTTATAATGAAAAATGTACACAAGTTTGTTTTAAAGATTTTTTAAAAGTATTAATAAAGTATGGAATAAAAACAATACGATGGAACATATATAAAAATATTTTTAAAGAAGCGAATATTGTGTGGAATCCGAAATTTAGTGAATTTTTGATTAAATATTTTGAATAACATATTAAAACCATTGTATATACAAATAATGTGTTTGAGTTTGTTAGAAAAAGCTATTTTTTTTTCAACTTTTATAACCTTACTTTTATTAGGTTTTAACAATTCAAAACATGGAAAACAATAAATATATTAAAATAGCTCCTGACTGTAAGACCAATGGGAACTTCGCTACCAATTTTTTACGTATAGTTTTTTAATGTCAAAATGTGCGATTACGAACGTTAGATTTTACTATACAAAATTTATTTGTCAAAATTAATCACATATTGTGCTGAGCAACAATCCAAATGAGCTAAGTGGGGAAATGAATTTATTCATTAACAATGGCAGAAAATGTGACGAATAAAAATGACTATACACTAACGATGTCTTGTCTACAACTTTCTGTACTGTGTGAAATAACAAAATAATGTGTACTGTAACGAGTGTTATCAAAGTAGTAGGGACAAAATTACCCAAGCTGACATAAGACAATAAAACTACGTGAATTGACAGAATTGACAGAACACAGATGTTTTGATTGTAAAAAGTATATCATTTCTAAGATTTCAGTTATTTATAACAAATATGTTATGTACAATAACACATTTCTACAATTTCTAGGCTTCCAGCTCATTTATCTTAAGTCTATTTTAATCATGAAATAAGAAAAATGACTTTGCCATTTACTGTCAAATTATTTTCACAAAAAGCGCATTCACAGTACGTATAACAACTATTCAAACACATATTATAAACTTCACAGACAAATAAACCTGTTCTGGCAGTGTCTATGTTTTTTTATACATACTAAAATTGTTTCCTTATTTATTAAATCATTTAGTTTTTAGATATTTGTTTTCTAAAGTAGAAGATAAGCAGAAACTTTATTTGATTGGAATAATTAAATTTTGTTTTAAAACCTATCAACAATATCACTGTGAAGATATAACGAGTAACTGATTCTTTATCCCAACACCTCATGAGTCTTACAGCCAGGGCCAAGATACAAGAATGAAATTACAAACAATGTTACTTGGTTTCGTTTGGAACTTCAGTCGTATTATCACCAATTTTATTCAGTACATCTTCAAACGTATCTAACGCAGATGCTAAAGATAGTTTTAGTCCTTTGCTAACAGGTAACAGGGGGAATTCTGGATTGAGAGGATTCTCGTTACGACAGTAACCGCGAAGGCGTTCGCATAGTTTGTGACCGTTTTCGGAAAAATGTGCAATGATTTCTCGCTTAAACATTTCGGGAGGTGATTGTAACATCTTTTTCATGGATTGGATCAGTTTTAAGATCACCAATTCGTTGTAGGTTCGGGAATTTTCGTATCCTAAAATTAAAGATTAATTAATAAATATATGGTGACAGAAACACTTTAATATTGCTCCAAAACTTGCACAAAGTAATGTAATAAAAGCTGTTTAAATATTCTAATCTAATAAAAGCCTATTACGACACGAGCAAACTACCCACTGAAATTTCAATCACATTTTGTTCCTGAAACGATACGGTTAATTTATTGATATCAACAAATGAATGATAAATTTTCAAATATCCTTAGTCAGAATTTTTTCTACTTCATCAGTAATACATTTTTCTGCAAAATTGACAAAAATATTGGTTACTGTAATTGTAAGGTAAGATTTGTCAAGCCAAATAATGTAAAGCTTTATGTTTACATTATATTTACTTGGTTTATATGCAAGCAGTTTATTATTTTAAAAATTTAATTAGTGACTGTAGATTACAATTGAATGGATCCCCGTTATATGCGACGAGCAAAATTAATAGTAAATACTTATTTGTAGAAGCATAAATTCTCCTTGTAGTCAGCTGTCAATATGTTTATTAAATATTATACATATCATTTGCAAATCAAAATGAAACATAATAAAAAATATACATTTTTTAAATAAATCATCGAATATTGAATTTAATTCAAAGAATATTTTAGTAAGTTTTGACATAAATAATTTATTTACAAAAGTGTCATTAGATAATATTATAAACATAATAAAAACAAAACTAGAGAATGATGATACATTGGCAACTATAACAAGACTAATTAATATATCAGATACAATGGAGTTATTGACATTGTGGACTGATAATATCTATATTCAACTAAATAATGAATTCTATAAACTAAATTTTGGTCTAGCAATGGGCTTTAGTTTATCTCCATTAATAGCCGCGATATTTATGGAAGATTTTGAAACAAATATTATTTCTAAACAAAATTTAAAACCCACAGTATGGGTGGAGATATGTAGATGATGTATAAAGTTTTTGGACGCATTCGTGAATTATATAAACGATAAAGAAGAGACAATAACATTTACCATAGTAAAGGAATATAATAACACACTACCCTTTCTGGATGTTTTTATCTCTAAGAACGAAACTGGATATGAGACTCGGGTGTATATAAAAAAAACCAACATATATTTAAATTACAAATTAAGTCACATCAATATTAAAAAGGGAATCATTAAATCTTTATACGATAGAGAAAAAATTCTTTGTTCTAACGAAAATTCGTTCTTAGAACGAGATTCTACATCATACACAAAGAATAATACGTCGAAAACAACAATATCATACATAAAAGGATTATCAGAAAAACTTAAAAGGATAGGAAATACATTCAACATTTCAAAAACATAAAAACAACAAACACATTGAGATCTATGTAATCTAAAACTAAACCTAACAAGAAAGAACAGGTTATTTTTTATAAATTTTATTTAAAATAAACTGTTTTCTTTTCTGTGTCGTTATTTCGTTACTGAATTAATAAACAATAACGTCAAACTGTCAGTTTCTGACACATCAATCATGGCCAACTCACAATAATTATTGGTAAACGTTAAAATATCTACCAAATTTATACTTTGATGGAAAAATAAAAATATCTAGAAAACTGATAACTTTAGGTATAGAGAGTACTTTATAAAATTTGAAGTATAAGTTATACGATATTAGTACTTTTCGATAAAGATATAAAATACAGGGTGTTCTATTTAAAATTGCCAAGAAAATAATGTATTTGCATTTTGACTTACCCTGTATTTGATTTAACGAATATTATGAAAACGAATATGTTTTATAATTTTTAACAATTACTAAAAAACTATGGTTGAAATAGTTCAATGTTCCTATACTCCTTTTTAATTATACAGGTTAAACTTATACGATTTTCAGGTAATATTGGTTATAACATTTTAAATACCCGGTATAACATAATAAAACCTTAGATTGTTGTGATGTGGAAGTGAAGCAGATTTTAAATTTAAAATAAAATACAGGGTGTGTCATTTAAAAAAACATAAGTTTGGTCAGCCACCATCTTATGGAACACCCTGTAAGATTGTAACTAATTTTAAAATGTAGAGTTTAAAGCTGCCTACAATTTTTGTTAATAACTTTTTTTTGTAATTTTTACTATAACAGATCTACTGAGCTTCCTCACAGTAATCAATCACCCTATATATATATATATATATATATATATATATATATATATATATATATATATATATATATATATATATATATATATAAATATAAATATAAATTGACTCGCTATTAATGCTTTAATTTGACACATGTCTTGGCGTAAAATGACGATTATTACAATCAACGATAAGATCCCGGTTTGCCAGGTTTAGCTCTCCTCTAATTTTTATATATTATAGAATTTTAAAAAGTGACTTAAAATTTGGATTAAATGACGAGATGATAGCAAATATCAATGAATATTTTAAACGTTGTGACACATCGAAAACAAATTTTTACCCTATTTGAAAAGATTATTGAACCACTTACCTTGTTGTGTATCAGTTTGCTTCTCATACCCTGCTTCATTATAGTACGGTTCGGACACCAATATCAAACCTTGAATAGACACTATTAACTGCAACAGCGTACTGTTAGGTCCCCAAACTTCAGTACCTTTACCCATCCAAGTGCCTAATAGAGAAACGCATACTTTTCCTTCCACATATAAATTAGGATTCAGCCTCTCTGAGCTGTAGCTGATGTAGTGCACTAATGGGGGTGATCGTGGGTAGTCTGTGCTAAGCTGTATGTCAAAAAGGAAGAGACCATCTTCGTATGGGGTTTTATCAGGACCTCTAATCATCACAGAAAGGAGATCTATCCTGTTACCATACGAACGCACCCATACACCCGAAGGGAGCGAGTCCTTGAGAAGCTTATATTCTTTTTGAATGGATTTAAGAAACCTAAAATATATATAAGGCAGATACATTAGCTTTAAGTAAAAAATAACTGGTTGCAATAATGCAAATAAATGTTTTAGTCACTTTTTTTCATAAATCCACTAAACAAATCGAAGACACTAATAAAAGGACGTCTTTTAACATTACATTAATTATTAAATGTAAGATAAAAAGAACTAGAAGTAAAAAGTCGTAAACAATTACACCCAGAAACTAGAAGTTGTGGGGATTCAATATACTCCAGTTATATTTGGGAAAGTTGTGTATACACAAGTGAGCATCTTGTGAGTAGTTTTAAAAAAAGTAAAATATAGTAAAAACTTCTAATCTAATTCCTATATTTGTTTAATAAAAAACAATAAAAATCCAAACGGATTACAATAGTTCCAAATGTTTTGGGTTTTATCAGTCCATCATCAGTTGTTGAACTGAGGGACATGAAAGGAGCCTCCACGTAGATTGCGATCAATGTGAAAGCAATCGGGCGTCTCCTAGAAACGAGTAATATCGGCTAAGCCTTTCACCACCGGTGCACCAACACAGATGCAAACGCAACCAAAACGGTCTTTATCGAGGGCATTTTTGATGACTACTTCAATTAATATTGAAGGACTATCAGCAAATAAAAAGATCTACTGTCTAATATGTGAAGAGAACACGGTGTCGATGTTCTACTGGTTCAACAAACCCATCGAGGTAATGCAAGCCGCAGACCAAGGATTCGAGGTATGAGACTTGTACTGGAGAGACCACACGACCAGTATGGTAGCGCAGTCTTCGTCTGACCACATACCGACATAGTTTCCACATCTTTAACATATCGAGATGACATCAAGATTCTCACAGAGGAACTAAAGTATTGTACAGTAACGTACATCTACAAACCGCCAAACGCTGACTTTGTTTTTGAGGAACCGGATAACTTCTAATCACAGCAAATAAAATTTATACTGGATGACTTCAACTTTCACAGTATCGCATGGGGGTATAACGAAACAGACTCCAATGGTGAAGAACTAGAAAATTGGGCTGAAAACATGAAACTCAAACTTATTCATGATAAAAAACAGCCTGCGTCTTTCAACAGCGGAAGATGGCGCAGACAATATATTTGTCAGCGACAGGATTGGAGACCAGGTGACAAAAATTGTTGGAAGCGTCCTCCCAAAAACACAGCATAGACCAATAATTTGGTCCAGAACCGGTTACATAGCGGGGCTAAATGAAGAATCTAAACCTCTAATTAGAAGACACGAGCAGTTATATAAAGTCCTTTTCGGACAAAACAACAGACGCCTTGAAAATTTATTCGGAATTTTAGCAACAATCCCGCCGCTCCGGCACCCAATCTAAAAGTCACACCCGATCAGATAGCCCATCGTATGCTGACAAATGGTAAGACGACATCAAGGAAGAATAAAGTGAGAGCACAACGAAATATCGACGAAGAAGAGGATGATTTATGTACTTCCTTTTGCCTGGAGGAGATGAGAGGTGCGGTCCATCAAATGAAAGATAATAAAGCGGCTGGCCTAGACGATATACGAACAGAACAAATAAAGCACTTTGTACCAAAAGCGCTAGTGTGGCTCGTAAAAATGATGAACTGTTGCGTCCATATATTCCAAATCCCCAAAATCTGGAGGAAAGCTAGAGTGGTGGTTCTCTTAAAACCAGGAAAGGATCCGGCGGATACAAAGAGTTTTAGACCTGTTTCTCTTTTGTGTCACCTTTTCAAGGCGTTCTAAAGAATGATACTGAACCGGGTCGCTGAATTTGTGGACACTAAAATTATTCCTGAACAAGCAGGGTTTAGACCCGGAAAATGCTGCTGCAGTCAAACTCTTAATCTCACCCAACATATTGAAGATGGGTTTGAACGGAACGAAATAACAGGAGTAAATGACACAGTTAACCATCAACGGCTGCTGGTAAAACTCTACGAAATTACAAAAGACTTTCCTACTAAGAAGGTTAATGAAATGTCTTCTCCAGAATAGACGCTTCTACGTAACGCAACTTATATTCGTATATTCTCCAGAATAGACGCTTCTACGTGCAAGAACAGTAAGTGGAGGGATAAAAAAAATGGACTTCCACAGGGAAGTGTCCTCGCGCCATTGCTATATAATATTTACACCAACGACCAACCCAAAAACCAACAAACAAGACAGTTTATTTACGCGAATGATACAACTGTGGCAGCTCACGGAAGTACCTTCAATGAAGTCGAAGTAAAACCGACAGATGTCCTAGAAGACTTAGCACTGGAATAAGACGAAAACAACCTGAAACCCAATTCCACAAAAACCCAGGCGTGTGCTTTCCACCTCAGAAACAAGCATGTCCGAAGGAGACAGGAGGAGGAATGGCGTGGTCAGATGGTATAACACAATGAGATGCCAAAATACCTTGGCGTACGTCTAGATAGAACTCTGTCATATCGATATCACTGTCAAGATATAAAAAAAGTAACCGCCAGAAATAATATCATCCTCGAACTTAAAACACAAAATGGGGAGCACAACCACACACTCTCCGTACCTCTACCTTAGCATTATGTTTTTCTGCCTCCGAGTTTGGAGCACCAGTGTGGGAAAGCTCTGCTCACGCTACAAACGTCGATGTTGCGTTTAATGTAACGGTTCGTATAATATCTGATTGCCTGAAACCGACACCTATCGAAGAGGTCTACCCTATAGTTGGAATCGCTCCACTTGCTATCAGAAGACAGGTCACGTCATAAATTGAACGAAAGAAGCAGGAGAAGGATGGAAGAGTGAACACTGGAAATAGCTGCTGGACACAATTTGCCGTATCCCACATGGAAAGCGCTAAACAGACTAAGAACTGGCGTTTCACGTTGTGCTAGTAACCTGAAGCAATAGGGATACCAGGAGGACGATACCTGCGACTGTGGCGCGGTTCAGAATAATCACCATCTACTATCATGCACAGAGATGAGAGAGACCTGCACAGAAGAAGACCTATTCTTAGCGAATGACAGGGCTATCTATGTGGCCAACCATTGGAAACACAAAATTTAAAGTTGTCGGTGTTCCGGACATGGAAAGTAAGTAAGTAGTTGTTGAACGTAAGTTGGCATGTCATGTTAAAATTTATATAAATTTTAGGTACAGTTATCGTCTCTATTTGAAAACAAATCTTCAACTTATGATTATGTATGTGAACAGTAAACTTTATGTTTTAATAATATTGAGTTAAAGTTTCCAAAGAAATGTTTGATAACGTACTTAAATGAATCCATGTCATAACTTACGTGATAATAACCTGCCTAAATGTTGGTCTTTATTTATACGTCCATGGTATTGTCTAATCATTTTTGAACTTAGGTATAAAATAATTACGTTAAATGATTAACTATCTAAAACGCTTTATTTTAAGCAAACGTTAATTATACATACTGCCGTAATTTTTAAATTAACTGCACCTAAAGATAGAATTACAATAATTAAAATTTGCAAACTAGGGATTTTCTTGATATTACCGTAACAAGTTGTCATTTTGGTAGTGAGAAATTAGTTCGACTATCACTTAATAGATGAGAAAATTAGTTCACGTGTCATTTAGTAGAAGACAGCAGTGATGTATTAAATGGCGACAGATGCGCGCTTGCCGAATTTAAGAAAAAGCTGCAAAACATTGAAAACGAGTTTTGTGGTTATGCCAATTGTCTATGGGTTATGCCTTAAACAAGGAAAGAGAGTTCTCTTTTCTTATCTAAGGGTTATGCAGTAACCATGGAAATACGAATCACGTGGTTTTGTTTATCAAAGGGGCCTCTCCCAATAAACATTTTGGCCTCTTTTGACTTTTAATCATGATTGTATAACGTTAGCTTATATAACGTGACGTTATATAATCGTAGTTAAAAGTTTTAAGGCCCAAAATGTCTCGAAATGTTTACTGGGGGATTATACTGGTTTTTACATAATACATAGATTAAAAAGCTCTAACATGTCACGTGGGGCTCATCTAAAAATAATTCCAGTTTTATTCACTTTTTATCAAATTTAATTTTTATAGACAAAACAATATTATGTAATCAACGATTAATTTTTATCAGTACATTTAAATATTTCCGTAAGTGAAAAAATTATTAAAATTTACTTGTGTAATAATTAGAAATGATGAAAATGTGAAATTTTCTTTATCGAATTTCTGTATCAGTTTGAAATAAATATTTTTGAACAGGTAAAGAATTAATAATTGTCGTCTAAATGCCGTCTACAATAAGTAATAAAATATTTCCAAATGAATGAACGTTTTGTATCTATAGATCACATGCATGTAGGTGGCGCTGGCGACAGGGTTTGGTATTAAAACATATCCTCATTTTATTCTACCATTAATTTATATTGTTTGGTAATCGTTTCCTAGTTGGTATGAAATTTTGTGAGTGACTTAAGTTTTAATAAGTTATTTAGGACGTTTTAAATGTTTGGACACTTTTAGTAAAACTTTACAGTATGCCTTACAATTGTGTGTCATAATGCAATTCAGTTTCCAATAAAACTGACAACAAGTTTCATAAATTCCCCTTGAATAGAGCTTTACAAAAACGATGGTTGATTGCTATCAGATCTGTATTTGAATGTTACTCATTTTAATTACGGCGTGAACATACCCCTTTAAGAGTGCTTGCTGAATAATCCATTCAAAAAACAATATATTTGTTAAAATTATATTTTAAAAGGTATAAAGTGAAGCGACACAATGTTGAGGTTGATAAATTTACTTTAAAGGAACATAATGGCCTTTATTCGAAACGAAACCCGCTTCTGCGGTATGAAAACACCAACCAACTAACTGGTGATACCGAATTAAATTTAATTCTTTGACATATCAAACCACTAAAAAGAAAACTTCGTTGAAATCTTCGTTGAAGATTATGTGAAAGTGGAAATTTTGTTAAATGTACATAATCCAACGTCAAGCTCAAGTCCAGTTGCTCCTCAAAATAATGTGAGATAAACAATTGTCCTAAGATCATAACTTCATCCATACAAATTGAATTTTGTAAAGGAGCTAACAGAAGACGATATATATCGTATAATGGATTTCTGGGAAAGAATGATGAAATAAATTGAAGAGAAATGAAATAGCTGTTTATAAAATTCTTTTTTTCATCAACATTTATTTTGAACAGGAAGGTAAGTAAATCGATAAAACTGTAGATATTGGTTCCTATATTTGTAGATGGAAATTTGACAGCCAAAATATATTTAAGCATGATTAGAGACGAAGTTGTTCCCATTATGCTTTTATGGTAAAAACTTATTTAAACGAAATTTTCTTCAATTAATGGATTGGAGGAAGTGGTACTATTGAGTGACCAGCTAGACCGCCAGACCTTACCCTCCTGGATTTTTTTTATGTAGTTATCTCAATAACAAAGTACAAACAACATAGCCAACTAGCACTGCAGATCTCAAAGAAAAAAAAAAACGATAGAAATATGCAATATTTCACCTCAAACTGTAAACAAAGACGGGATACCATACGGATTACTGAAATATTGTGGAGCAGCAATAGAACAATTAACAACATTAATTAATAAAATTATAAAACACAATAAAATACGGTAGAACGGAGAACGAGCAAACTAATTCTACTATTCAAAAAAGAAAATAAAAAACAGCCAGAAAACTACAGAGGTATAAACTTGTTAAATATTACCCTAAAACTTTACATCTAACTAAACAGATAACTAAAATTTTACAAGTACTAATAAATCAATTTAGCAGATGAAAAACAGAGTTTTCGTAGTGGAAGATCGTGTAGTGGATGATGCAATATTCGTTATATAGTAAATTATTGAGAAATCACTAGATTATAATAGACCAGCATTTCTGTGTCTGCTTGACTTAAAGAAAGCGTTTGACAGAGTAGGACTCAAAGATGTAATCCATCTTTTGTATAATAGACAAGTTCCCCTAAATATAAAAATTATCGAAAACATCTACCAAAACAACAAACTGGAAGTCTAAATAACAGAACCTATAGAAATAGGTAGCGGAATAAGACAAGGGGTTTCATTGAGCTCCATGCTCTTCACTATCACTAATCACGGATGAAATCATCAAAAGCGTTAACAAAGGAAGAGGATACATAATGGGAATCCAAGAAGTAAAAATACTCTGTTAAGCAGACGATACAATATTGATAGTCCAAGATGAAGATAGTCTGCAAAGACTGGTCCACAGATTTAACATAAGAGCAAAATAATTTAATATGACAATCTCATCTCAGAAAACTAAAACGATAGTAATCAGCAAAGAACCAACCAGATGTAAAATAGAAATTGATGGCATCAGTATTGAACAAGTAATGGAAATAAAATACCTTGGAATTACACTGTTCAGCTATGGAGACCTGGACAAAGAAGTGAGAGATTAAGTACAAAAAGCAAATAGACTCCTTATAACACTATATGGCGAAACAGACACAGTAACACTGAGATGAAGTCAAGAATTTACAAAGCCAGTGTAAGATCAATAATGACGTATACCCCAGAAACAAGACCCGACACAGCCACAACACAAAGGCTACTGGAAACGGCAGAGATGAGAGTACTGAGAAGAACTAGAAGAAATACGCTGAGAGATCGAAAGAAAAATGAAGATTTGAGAAGAAAATGTAACGTACAGTGTATAAATGAATGTACACAAAATAGAAAAAAATAATGGAATAACCACATAGCAAAATGGGGGAGACGCGTGTCGTCAAAATAGCAAGTGATAACCTTACTTAGAGGTATTAATCCGCCAATGAATAAGCAGAATTGCTTAAAAAGATGAAGAACAAGAAGACGAAGAAGAAACTTTAAAAAAAGGTCGGAACAAGTTTTACAGGAGACTTTTTTATTGTCAACAACAAGGTGAAGAACAATTTGAGCATTTATTTTAATGTCTTACTTTAAAATTTTCAGCTTGTATTATTCATAATTTTAAAAATAAAAATATACAGGATGTTTCATTAAAAATAAGATGATGGACTACGTGAGACTTGCGCGAATCACCCTGTACATTTAAATTTATGTTTAAAAGGCGCAGATTTGAATTTCAAAATTTAATTATGTACAAAAGCATATTTTTCATATACTGTTTCATACTTGTGTACGAAACCAGGTCATTCTCAATGTCCGTCATTGCCACTTACAAAAGAGACAATTGTACATAAATTGCACTGTGGGTACATTTTTACTTTTTAAATACAGAAGTGCACCAATGATATAATGGTACACGATGCAAATTTGTACAGATATGCTACAATCAGGTATTTTCAGCCTGATCTTTTCAGATATTGATGGGTACTACATCGACTACTGAACGGAACTGTAAGATACAATAAACTAAGGAAGAAAATATATAGAGATTATAGGAGAAATATATTGGAACATACTAAAGGGTGTTTTTTTTAGAAGTATAGTACAGTGAGCACAAAAGAAGTTAAGTGCTGTAGAGCGTAGCATACAGGAATCCCCGAATCAGTCTATCTGCCATCCTGCACAGCAGTTGGATACGTGTCCATCCACTTTATGGAAGATTTTGCGAAAAAATCTTGCTTTGCGTGCTTACAAAATTACAAAATCCAACTCATGCAAAAATTAAAGGTACATCATCACCTAGCAAGGCGTAGATTCGGTGAGTGCTCCCAAAACAAGATTGCCGATGATTCCGATTTTCATAAGCGAATTTTGTTAAGCGATTAAGCTCACTTTTGGTTGAATGGCTACGTCAACAAACATAACTGCTCTATTTGGAGTTAGGATAATACTTTAATGTATGTTAAGAAACCAATACATGCAGAAAAACTGACTGTTTGGTGTGCTTTATGATCCACTGGAATCATTGGGTCGTACTTCTTTAAAAACGATGCCAACCTGAACGTTACAGTCAATCGTGACCGCTATAGAACCATGATTACTGCCTTTTTATTCCACAATTGAACAAACATAATGTACAGGAGCTGTCGTTTTAATAAGATGGCGCAAATTGTCACATAGCTCGTACCACAATTGATTTATTGAAGAAAACGTTTGGTAACCGCATAGTTTCATGTTTCGGACAGTGAATTGGCCTCAAAGATGAGATTTAACCTGCTAGACTATTTTATGTAGAGATACGTGAAGATGCTAGTCTACGATAAGCATGCAACGATTGACTACTTGTCGGACAACATAAGCCGCGTTATTGCCGATATACGGCGACAAATATCGAAAATTGGACCTCCAGATTAGACTACGTCAGAGCCAACAATGCCGATCATATGCCAGAAATGATATTTAAATTATAATGCCAAAAGCTTATCTTTCGAATAAAGTCAATTTCATGTCAATTTATAGAAATCATCTTTGTTTTATTTCACTTCAAAGTTCTATACCTCTAAAAAAAACACCCTTTACATGTGACCCTAAATTTTTGTTCTACTGCCTAATAACTTACCTCTGAAGATCTGTAGGTTCAAACTTGGTTCCATAATAGTGATGCGTAACCGGCGCATCATCAACAAGCGTATAAGGCTCATTATCTCCGGATATTTTTGCCAAAAATTTCGACTTCAAGGGACTTAACGATGAAAACGAGTCGTCGGGAGTTGTGGGCACACTCGGCAAAGGTGTAGAGCTGGACGGCGTTGCCACATTTTCAGAAGCTTTGGTTAATACGGTGAATGCTTGACTGCCGCCGATACGACTAATTATTTCGGCATAAGCTAAATCCATTCGTACTTTGAGCATTGAAAGAAGTTCTACGCAAAGATTATCTTGTGTCACTGATGCAGATATTTCTGTGCTATCTGGTGTTAGTGGAGTTGAAGGTGCTGAAACATTTTACAGCATCTGTTTTATTTGAACACATATACTATGTAAACACAAAAATGTATTAATAGTTTGTATATATGGCTACAAATGTTTGTAGCAAATGCTCTTTAATGCTTTTCTTTATATGCTGACTTTTTTATATGTTACACTCTTGCCAAATGAGAAGAACTTATATAACAAACTTAAGTTCTCCATTCAACAATACAGGATAGTTTGAACCATGTTCTTTCAACCATCAATTAATAAGAGTACCGGCATGTAAGTAATGTTTTATTTATTGGTTCATTTATTAATTTATTACACTTTAATAGACTATTTTATACCAATTTGTGGGTCTTACCTTGTCTGCTTAAACATTTTATTCATTTTGAAAAACCAAAGACATGTAATATTGGCATAATTACTGTAATTTATATCATCTATCTTTGTTTATCTTTATTAGACAACACCCTACTATGGGTTTTATTATTTCAGCATTTATTTAACTTTGTATCGAGACCTGAAGATGCTTTGCATATTGTAGAAAGCGAAACTGGTCGTCTGGATAGTTAAATTAAATTGATTATGAGTAAGTCTTATTTATCATTTCTTTTACCTATTTGAAATGGACTCACACAAGCAACACATTCATAATTTCAATTTAGTTTTACTGTGATCCTTCCTTATGATAATTTCTAAACATAAAATAACAAATCTTCAAACAATAAGATTTGTACTAACCATTTTGTACTACTCGATTGTAAAATTCTCGTCTATCATTAGCCAGAATGCCTGACGTTATTTTTGCACACTCTTCAATAATTCGCATTTTTAATGCTTCAATATCTGTACATTTTTGGTCAGAATAGATTTTTGAGTTTAGATGCCCCCAGATAAAATAATCGTCTGGAGCTTACGCTATATATATATATATATATATTATATATATATATATATATATATATATATATATATATATATATATATATATATATATATATATATATATATATATATCGGAAAAAGGAGTACGACCGTCAATCCAATATATATATATATATATAAGGATCACTCAGAACGAGTGGTGGGTTCTTATATCTTTATTAATATTACTTATAATGCTACCTAAAGTTAAAATCAAAGCTTAATATCCATTAAATAGTTGGAAGTTATTTATGATTTTCTTAGTTCTTTCTCACTTATTAACATTAAATAACATTGAATTTATTTTGGACCACATGGTCAATTGCTGTGCTAATTTTTAACAAGTTCATATATGTTGTTAGTTGCTTAACTGTTTATACAAGATCAGCGTACTATGTCCATTTACTTAGTTTCATTCACATATTTGTTAATAACATTGACTGCTACATATCTTTTTAAGGTAACAATTAACATCGTTTCCATGATTGTGTGGTTCTCATATTGTAATAATTTTTTAGATGAACTGATGATGCTTTCAAAACTCGAAAGCGAAACGTCTTCAAAATAGATAAAGTAGCCTATCAACTTTGTCTTTTATTTCTCCACCTAGAGACCGATATAAGAACCCACCACTCGTTCTGAGTGATCCTTATATATATATATATATATATATATATATATATATATATATATATATATATATTACGCTAAATAAAGAACTGACAATTGCCTGAATAAAACATTTTAATTAATTATTGCTTTTTTCTCCTCAACTGAATACATTTTTTAATAAACTATATTGTTTTTAAACAATAAGTCACAAAATTAAAACTTCGGCAATTCAAATATTGTCAAATATCAGAATCATTAATATGACCAAACGCAACATGTTATACACATTGTTGTATCTCGTGTGGCCTGACTTTAAAGGGTTGTCTGAAAAATGTATTATATTTTTAGAAAATTTTGGAATACATTTAATTCGTAGAACAATTTTAACATTTGTTTTTAATACATATTTCAGTCCTCTACAAATAGTTTTTTATAACTTTTGATGTAAAATAATTAGGGAAGCAGGAATTCAACAATTTAGAATTTCCCATTGAATTTCCTATGGCTCGTTTGATGACTCACCACCCTGTATACCGATAAAAAAGGACATATCATATGTATGTGCTAAAATTAATTTCGACCATTTCTTATTTACATTCAGCTTTACAGATACCCTTCCTCATCCGAATGCTTGTATTGATATTAGATGTAGAATAGCTTTTGTAATTATCTTAATTACATTCTTATCAAATTTAGGAAATGTATTTGCACGCTCTATACTTGGTTTTAATTGTCCCCAAATTAACTATATAGCATTGAAAACAAAAATAGGGGGTAAATCTCAATATATCGTGTCCATGCTTTTCGACAATACTCTCTAGAGCTTATCTAATTTTGTTTCGGTACAGAATTTCAATAAGTTTTTTTTTGTATAAGAATCTTCAAAATACAAGTTGTTTTCCTTTACAAAGCTGTGCAGTTCAGCTTTCTTATGTATTTGGTATCTTACTGAGCTGTCCGGAATGATAGGAAGCGTTGTCAAGCACTATTTCACTGTTTGACTCTAAGTTTGCGATTAGTGAAAATTTTACAAATGTTAGCCAGTGAAAGGTTTGGCATTAAAAGAATTATTAGAAACCCTAGGGCCGATTGTTCGAACGCTAACAAAAACTTGATTGTAATCAAATATTTAATTAAAATCATATACGTCACATTTTGAGGTTATGTTAACTGATTTATTTTATTTAATTTTATTATTTTGCGTTTTAATTTGAAATAAACCATAATTAAACTCTAATGTTAATTTCATGCTTTTATTACAAATCAATAATACTAATAAGCAATTTTTATTAATTTTGACAGCTGAAATATTTGATTACAATCAAGTTTTGATTAGCGTTCGAACAACCGGCTTTTATTGTTTCATTCAAAGTTATAAACAAAAAAGCTTACCAGTTGAGTCTTTGCACTCTTTCTTCTCAATTTGTGCATTTATTTTATTTTCTAATTTGATCATTTTGTTAATATTTTCTTTTTCGGCAACTTTAATTTTCGCGATGGACGGACATAAGTTGTCACAAGAAAATAGTCTCCCTCTCAATTCTACGCCGAGAGATTTCGCTTTTTCTTTGGCTTGTAGCAGTAGCACTTGAAAATGCTTACTTTTTAGACTAAAATACGAGGTACCCAAAAGCTTATCCAAATAACTCGAGTTTTCGTATATCAACAGCAAATCTTTGACGAACTGAAAATAAAAAAAATATATTGTTACACGAAGTTAAAAGGAATATTCACATATAGTTATAGGAAAATAATGATCGGTGTAAAATAATACAAACAGAACGTCAAGGTCATGGTTAAAAATGGGTAGAGAGATCCAAATAATATGCTATGCAGACGAATCTGCACTAGTCGCCGAGACTGAAGATGACCTCCAAAGATTAACGCACATTTTCAATACAACAAACAAAAAAAATCATGATGATTTTAGCAGAGAAACCAAATGCATGACAACATCGAAATATCCAATACGGTTTAAAATCAAAATCGATGAGAAAATATTAAAACGATTAGACCTATGAAATACATGGCGGAGACGAGACCAGCCAATACATCAACATAAAATTTAATTGTCGTCTGACAGATTCGAAATTTGGCACGCAACATTTGTTATACTTTTGCCGCAGAAAACAAAGGATGCACATGAATTAATTTTGGGTAATTTAAGCAGTAATAATATTCTATTTAATAACGGTATGTATTAGATTCTTATTTCAATGCGGAGCAGCGGCAAGCAGCTTATACGTATTTCAAGGTCTTAAGGTCTCATCAGAGCGGAATATGCTGCTGTTTGAATCAAAACAAAAATCTATCCCGTCGTAGGACAATAATTTACAAAGCAGACAGATTAATGAATTAGTCGGCAAGGAAATCTAAACTATGCATTCCACATGCCGTCATCATGGCCAAAATTCGTAGTGAATTCAGTTTCTGGTACTCCAGAGTAGAGAAATAAAACATAATGACGGTATTAGATTTTTATTTCGATGCAGGGCAGCGGCAATCTGCTTATACGTATTTCAACATCTTTAGGTCTCATCAGAGCGGCATATGCTGCTGCTCTGAATCGAAACAAAATCTATCCCGTCGTAGGACAATAATTATCGAAATAATTATTTACAGACGTACAACGACATCTAATAACAACAAGAGAAATCATAAGATTTCCTATTTGGCGAAACTGAATTCAAATCTTTATCACTCAAATCCAACAAGCTATGAAATAGTTATTAGGTTCTAAATTTATAATACGTATAGATAGAAAAAGTACAGTAAACACACGTAAAAACGCAAAAAAGTGTAGATCAATAAACCACATTGAGGGCTATGATGTATCATTTATGTGAAATAATTACATGATGTGAACTCCGATTTTAACACATTTATGTATTTTTTTTTTAAATCGGTATGATGTAAGAACTACGTATAACGGGTTGCCTACCTTGATATGTAATGTAATTTTTAAGCTGTCTAAAATTACGTGCCGTTTTCGCTCTTAGTTAGGTTATGATATTGTATTTTATTTGTGAAAACATTTATTATTTTTTTATAATTATAATAAAATATACTGATGGCTTCAATTAAAAAGAAAAAAACCAAGAAACAATTGAAAGTGATTAGTTAGACCTCATACAAATAGATAGTGCTTACTGGTAAAATAACCAAGGAAGGCTAAGAAAGTAGCCCACTTGTGACAGGAATTTGTTATCATGGTAAATACAGTAGATGGTGGCCCCAATAAAACAGAGGAACAATGGAGACATGTAAGACAATTAATTTCTGTTACTATCAAATTTAATAAAGCTAAATTTTTAGGTGTTTAGTGAGTGGAAGATTTTGAAACTCATTTCAAAGATTCATCTTGGGGTGCACCAGATTATAAATACATTTGATTTTAAAGGTAAAGATTAATGATTAATGTATTATGCTTATTATGGTGTATAATATTTTTCAGAAAGAAAAGGAAATCAACCTGTGAAAATTAAAAGGCAATAATTTTATTTAACATTATATAAACATATTCTTTATAAAATTATATCTCAATTATGAATATAAACATTTTTATTTAACAATTTTATAACTCAAAGTTTGAAGCAAAACATTTCGTATTCTAAGGGTTTTGAAAATTTTTGTGCCACTTTGTACTATGTTTCAGATTTTTTGTTTTGTTTTTTTCACCATTTTGACACCAAAGGTTCCACTATCCCTGCAGTTATTTCTGTTAATACTTAACTAAATTTAATTCGTTCCATTGAAAATAACAGGTTGCTACCAGTACATTTTTGGTAAGCATTTCCTACAAAATTAAGTAGGGAGAGAGCCTTTAATTTTATTGCAATTTTGTTAGCCCTTTGCCTTTCACGAATTACAGGTTGCAAAGTATCTACAGCATACCTAGCAATGTTTTTTGACACCCTAAAACACTTAAAGCTAGAGCTGGTTATTTATTTCAAATGGGTTACTGGTGCCCCGTAACTGACGTCGCTCTTCTTCTTCTTAAGGTGCCGTGCATTTCTGCGTAAGCGTCCACCGTACATCGTCTTGTCAGGTGAGGTGTTAAATATTCTGGATTAAATAATTCTGTTTTTAGCAGCATTGCGAAGCATTTCATAGCTGTGGATTCCTGTCCATTGTCGAATATTGCGCAGCCATGACATTTTTTTACGTCCGAGACCTCTCCTACCCTCTATCTTCCCTTCGAGTATCAGTTGCTGAAAAGTGTATCGTTCTCCTCGTATAATGTACCCCAAGTATGCAGTCTTCTTACTTTTTACATAATTAAAAAGTTCCCTAACCTGTAAGCCCGCTCTTCTGAGTACTTCCTCATTTCTGACCCTGTCCGTCCATGATATTCTGAGCATTCGACGCAGGCACCACATTTCAAACACTTCAAGTTTGTTAATGGAACTGGCCTTTAACGTCCATGCTTCCATTCCGTACAAGAGAACCGGCCACACGTAACACTTAGCATCTTGTATCGGAGGTTGAAGTCTAATTTGCGATCAGTCAGAAACTTACGAAGCCTCAAAAAAGCATTTCTGACTTGTTCAACTCTGCTCTTTATTTCATTCTCGGGGTCCCAACCCTCATTCAGCAAACATCCCAAGTATTTGAATTGCCTGACTTGTTCGATTTCTTCTCCAGAGACATATATCTTTGCGTTGGGGTAATCATTTCTACTTATAATCATTGATTTTGTCTTCTTGATATTTATTTTCAAACCCCGAGCTTCACTTGCAAGAGTTAGATCATTTAACAGGCATTGAAGATCTTCGATGTTATCTGCCACTATGGCTGTATCATCGGCATACCTGATGTTATTAATAAATATGCCGTTAACTTTATTACCCTTATTAGAGTCTTCCACTGCTTCTGCGAAGGCTTTTTCTACGTATAAATTGAACAGCATTGGGGACAGTATACAACCTTGCCTTACTCCTTTTTTAATGGAGAAATCTTCTGTTTCGTTAGAATTTTGAAGACGTACTGAATAATAACAACTTTACAAAATCCATTTTTTCAAAAACAAACACGAAGAAAAAAGTTAGGTTAATTTGAATTATCTGACAGATCTTCAGGATATGATAGAACCTTAAATAACATTGTATGTAATTTTCTGCTGTGGCTTGGTCATTTTACGCATAGCAACGCGGGGCATGATACATCATACCGTTTTTACATATTATGTTTTGAGAACTGTAATCTAATGTACGTTTTCTGAATTTTACACTTGTACGTAATTATTTACGTAAGAGATACATCATAGCCCCCATTGTGCCAACGCTGGACCTGCGGTGTGACCTTCATGTCAAGACTGTTAAAGAAGAGATCACAAATTGCTCCCAAAAAAGGCTCTGCGGATACAAAAGCCGCAAACTTATGAGGCCACTACCATACGAAGACTAAAGCGACACACTCGCAGTTATCTTTCAACAAGATTTCTAAACTAAGTGTTTTTTATATTTTTGTATAGACCACAAATTTACAAATAATTTTTGTTAAAATTAAAATATAAATAAACTTCTTGCATGTTACTTGTAAAATAATTATCCAATTTACTTATTGTAATATTATTACAGCCTGTAAATAAATGGAAAGTTAAAAATATATTAAAAAAAAAAGTTATTTTGTTTTTTGTTATCATATAAAATTGCACTTGTGGTTAATTCCCAAAAACATATTAATTAAAAACAATGAAACTATACAGTTTAAAAACTACTTACTACAAAAGTTTCCAATATAGTATGTTGTTTGAAGGCATCTTTTAAATAAATTATCCTATTTCTAACAAAATCTAAACGAGCTGCCAAGTTTTGTAAGACTGTTTCGTCTGTCAAATCACCAGCATACGATTCTATACTTTCAGTCTCCCAAGAAACACAAGCTGCATCTTCTTCAGAAGATTCTTCATCCGAAAACTCATAGTCCGTCGTTTCTGGAATCAGTTCTATATCTTGCGGCCAACAATTCTCCTCTTTACCATCTAACCATTGCACTTTTACATACCCCTAGAAAGTCAACGATTACCTTAAAACAGAAGTAAGATTATACTTATAATGAGTTTTTATAAAAACATTTATAAACTTTATCACATTAAAGAATTTACATAAACACATTTCGGTCAAGAATGATCTGGTGACATCTAATGTATCCTCTTTCTAATGAAAGTTTTGATTACTGCCTGCCAATATTTAAAATAGCCTCTCATGTCTAAAATTCGTCATTATCATCATCACTGGTGCTATAGCCCTAGTGGAGCCTCGACCTTCCCCATCATATTTTTTTTGGCTTAAATTTCTATTTATAGCTGCTTATTTAGTCCAGAATAACATTTGTTCGCTATCAATAATCTTCGTTTTACTTCTTCAGATGTGTCATTATCGCTTGTTATATGTTAAGTTATGTTAAGAACCTAGATAAACTTTTTTCTACTTCATTTTAAGATTCGTACACTTCTTTACTAATCCGACAAACATGTAACACTGTGAGCTTTTGTCCTCATGTGTATGCTCAACTTGCTTGAGGTTCATGATCTGAATTTTTTTTTACTTTCTTTATTCTTATTACCACTTTGTCTAAACTTCCTTATCTTTAAGTTATTATTTCGTAGTCACCTTTTCCCATTTACCTCTTCAATTTCACCGTTTTGTTCGTCTCCTACATTGTTGTCTTCTACTCTAACTCTTTTGAAGATTTTCTTGAACACACTCCACTCCTAGATATTCAAAATATTTGTGACATTATGTATAGAATACAACCAATTTTTTTTACTTTAAGTTATAACATATATGTATAATGATTTTTACCTCTATACAACTGTCTAAAACTTTTCCCATTTTTTCATCTTGAGCAGGTTTGGATTTAACTATACTACGTGGACGGAACACAAATTTTGAATGTTTGACCAAATCGTAAACACTCATTTCAGTTATTGCTAATTCAGTGGGTTTCTTTTCGTTTTCCGAGTAAGTAAACCATTTAATCTGCAAAAAAAATCATGAATTCGAATAATAAATTATTATGATAAATCTGTAGTACAACTCTGAACTTACTCTAAACACAACAGAACTGGAAATATTTTTTTAGAAAACATAGTTAGCAAAAAAAATCGATTCTTAGTATATTAGATTTAGATATGCGAGGTCTGTACCAAACTCAAAAAGTTTTCAGTGCCCTCTGTGGGTATGAGCGTAATCATAACCCTTCATGACACTGCGATACACCGCAGGAATTAACCAATGATGTATAATATATAGACCCAGCCAATGGTGAATATTGTGTAACAAACGTGATTCCCTTTTTCATTGTTTACTCTCACGGTTGGTAGACTTACTACGGTTGCCTACTCCGACCGGGGTGGGGAGAGTTAAATAGTATACAAGAACACAAGTTCATTTATTATCACAGTTTGTTCGTGGTAATGATCTTTGAGTTTATTATTTGTGTTATTATTTATCGTTTGTAATATCCTAGTTTACTTTATATTTTTGTATTTGAAATTTTGGTGTTGTTTCCTGTAAAAATTTATTTTGAATTATCGAAGAAAAGTTATTTATTGTAGTTGTACATCGTACCTATTGTATAGTGCCTTACATAAGAATATATTTTTATAAGGTAGGTTAAAACTTAAAAATGTCATTGTGTATTAACGTAATAATAATGTTGATGAAATTTTAGAATGCCAGGCACAGGATATACTGTGACCACTTATAAAAATAATTTTTATAAAAAAAAGGAAGTCTGTTAATTCTGATCAACAAATATATAAATAATACCCATTACCTGGAATATCAACTTTACAAAAATGGGCTGAACACATTAATCTTAGATCTAGTCTACAAGGTGTAGTTCAAGTGATGTATATAACAGGTAAATCAAAAACTGAACTAAGAGTAACCGTCTTGTCATATGATGAAATGAAATTTTGTGCCATGAATATGAAGAAAAAGAGGATGAAGTGGTTGGCAGTCATAGGTACATGCAAGTAGTGATGGCCAGAGGACATTTTGATAAATAAAAATAACCAGTCTACATTGGCTGTGATACAAGTATGACTGACAATATTTTGTCTACAATAATTACTGAGTTGCAAAATGTAAAATATAATGTAGTTGCATGCGTGTTTGATTGCGGGAGAGGCAATCAAGGACTTTGGAAAAAAATAAATATTTCAGTTGACTTCACACATTTTCCACATCCAGTCACAAAAGCAAATATCTACATGTTTGTTGATGCACCCCACCTCCTAACATTAACAAGAAACTGGTTAATCGACACAGGATTTGAACTTGAATATGGAAGTGTATCCAAAAAAGATTTATTAAAATATCTAATTGAAGCTGCAACAACAGAAATAAGTTACATATATAAGCTGACTTCAGATCATTTAGAGGAAAAAAATGCGGAGACTTGCTGCAGAATTACTATCTCACACAACTTCAACAGCCTTAAAACATAATTTTCAAAATGCAGCCAGAAATAAAAAATAGCAGCTCAAAAACTTAGGGAGTTTATAGAGCTTATTAATAGTTTATTTTGATTTAATGAATTCCTTTACATTTGCTATCTAACATCTTTATTTCATAACTATATTTACTATTTTCCACACATCAAAGACATAAAAACGCCGATTAACCATGTTACGATTCAAATTACTGTACTCTCGTGACGTGTTCGCGGGCTTAATATTCATTGGTTAGTCTGAGTAGGCAACCGTTGTTTATGTCTATGAACCGTGATTTACTCTAATGTTTTGATAAGGAGTTGCATGAAACGTTCACGATTTTTTACGTAGTTGAAACAATCAAAAGATAGTTTTGTTTATATGTACATCATTAGTGTGTTTGTTATTAATTGTGTGTTATAGTCGGACAATTTTCAATTAAAGGTGAGTAATCTACAAATTGAACTAAATGGTAGCGGCAACCATGTAAAATGTCAACAGTAAATTCTTACCGGGGTCATTTTTATCGTGTAAAGTAAATAAGTAAAACAGTAAGATAAAGAAAAGAAATTTGCCCCCGTAACAATATAAATTGGTGCGGTTCACGAGTGTATAGTGAGATAAGTTCATTGAATAGTTTGAAATATCGGTAAACTTATCAATATTTTGCTGATCTATATATATTTACGTTATTAGAAAGAATTTGAATGAGAGAAATATGATATTTAAGTTTATTCGTTCATCATGAAATATGTGCATAGGCGTAGTGTGCTCTATTTCTTGAGAATATATTTATTAAAAAGACTTTATTATTAACTTTAAAATAGTGACAGTGCAGTGATCATTGAACAGTGTAGTAGTGTCTGGGGGCTCGGGAGACTGAGACCTCTGAAGCCTTAAGGAAGACATCAGAGAGGATGTCGAAAGCTCGGCAAAATGGATATCGACGCGGTTCAACCCGGAAGACTGGTGAGTTTAATATTAATTTTTGTAATAGTATTAATCTTAGCTCTAGGTTTCATATATATATATATATATATATATATATATATATATATATATATATATATATATATATATATATGAATTTGGATATTCTCAACCCCGACAAAGCGTGCCCCAATGGACGTCCTATGTATATGTGTAAATCAAATAAACGCCCGTGGACCAACTGATAGATGGGACCAACATGGCTAAGCGGTCAAAGAGTCAATTAAAAAACGCTTATCTGGAGCTCAGCAGAGGAAGATCAGGAAAGCGGAAAAATAGCTACTAGCTACATAAAACCGCAACAGAGAGTCGCTAAATTACTAATAAACTCTAACGAGTAGACTAGATCATATAGAAATGCCAGAAAGTATTCATGATGACAGTAAGACCATCCTGATACTCAACTAGATTAGGTTCAAGCAGACCTAATCGTTAACAAATTGGAACAAGTAATGGATGAGACTCTTATCGGAAGACCGAGTCAACTACTACAGTTTCATAAAACAACGTTTAGTAGCGCGTTGACTCTGTGGGTGAACTGCGCCAACCAATATACCAAGAAATGGACTGTTGATATGGTGCGGACCATGGAGAGCCTGTGGGAGAAAGCATACTTGTTTGTAGTCGATCCCATTAACATGTCTAATCGACTCATGGCCCTTTGAACGATTCTTCTTCAAAGAAGAATAAATCAAATTCACCATGGAAAAGCTTACAATAATTCAATTTCTGTTCTGAATATGTTAATCATAAAAGAGGATACAAATTATGCAACCAAAGTTTAAAGAAAACCAACCCACACAAACATATTTAAATAAGCACTAAAACCACAACGTAAGCATCAAAAAAGGAATTATCAAATCATTATATGATAGAGCCCAAAACACATGTTCTAATAAAAATGTATTTCGGGAAGAAACAAATTTACTCACTAAGGTTTTAACAAAAACTGACTACCCATTGTCATCTATAAATAACGAATTCTACAAGAAGAAAAGAAAAAACAAAATTCCACAAGCAATCCAGAAATGCTAACAAGAAGTGATTCAAATATGACAACAATACCATATGTAGAGGGCTTATCAAAAAACTGCATTTATAAAATACCCTGTTAAGGCAACAATTTGTATGTGGGAGAAATCGCAAGATCACCAAATGTAAGGATAAACGAGCACGAAACATACATCAAGAAGAGATACTTCAACAAATCTCAGATATGCAAACATGCCCGAGGCAATGAGAACAGAGAATAATGGAAAGATGCATCAATAATAATGAAAGGAACGAGAAGTGTTCATTTCAATGCAGAACAATTATGAAAAAGAGAAAAACAAAGAAGCAGCTCTCATTCTACTTAACGAAGAAAAACGTGTAGTAAATCCATCATCTATCAGATCGAGGTTCGTCGAATATTATGTATGGTCGCAACTGCTATATAGGGTAGAAGCTTGCAAACCCCAATCTAATGTGTAATGTGTGAAACACCTAATGTGTTGGGTTATCGTAGTCGTCTGCCTATGATGTCCCAAACATGTTCTATTGGGTTGAGGTGAGGACTTCTTGCAGGCCAATCCATGGCAGGAATTCCAACCTCCTGACGATACTGCTGCACAATTCTTGCCGTGTGTGGCCTGACATGATCTTGCATATGCATGAAATTATCCCCAATAAATGGTGCAAATGGCACGGCATGCTCTTCTAAATTGTCTGTTATATACCTCTGCGATGTAAGCCGACCGCGATCTATTCTAACTAATTCCGCACGAGCCTCTAAATTAATCCCACCCCACACCATTACCGAGCCGCTGCCATACTGTACAGTCCCTACGGCGTTACACTGTGCTTAGCGTTCCCCAGGGCTTCTGCACACTCGGTTTCTCCTGTCATTAGAAAAAAGACAGTGCCTGGATTCATCGGTGAACAATATTCTTCCCCAATCGGCATTATTCCAATCAACATGTTCACGCGCAAAATGCAATCTTTGCCTTCTACGGTCTCTGGTCAACAATGGGCCAATTGGTGCCCTTCCAGGGTGTAGGTCGTTTTCTGCAAGTCTTCTTCTAATTGTATTTTGGCTGATTCTAAAGTTATAACGATCCAAAAAATTCATTTTGTAGAGAAGTACTGATAACAAATCTTTGTCTCAGTGTACGAAGTGTCAAAACCGGTCTTGATTAGGAGTTGTAACCCTTCTACGGCCTTGACCGGGTCTTCCCGAGTTACTTCCAGTAACAGAAAAACGTGTTAACACTCTTAAAATGGTTGACTGGGTGATGTTAAAACGTTCAGCGAGTTCTACTTGAGTGTATCCTTCTTCGCGAAGAGTAAGGGCGAGCGCCCACCAAAGTGGCGTGGCAGTGGCAAGTAGCAAGTAGCACGCGTCTAGCATAATGTAACCAATGAAAACGAATGATTCAGTTTACACCAAAATGACAGTAACGTCATTCATTCTAATCATTCGTTAGGATTGGTTCCATTATGCTAGACGCGTGCTACTTGCTACTTGCCACTGCCACGCCACTTTGGTGGGCGCTCGCCCTAACGATTCTAAAACAGTCACTTTCTGACAAATTTCGATTTTCTTGCTGCTGGTGGTTCATTTCAAAGAAATAACACTTAATAAACTTGAAAAAACCCTTTTAAACGTTCAGCATAACGTAATCCAACTCAACTAAATTAGAAATAAGATGAAGCAGAATTGACATGTTTTTAATCTTTTTGCAACAAATCGTAAAAACATCAGCGTTTTTTACCGTTCTTTCGATAAATTTTACAATATACCGGGGGTAACAATAATATATTAGCACCAGAATCGAAACGTTAAAATTATTTGATTTACCAGGGTTTTTAAAATTATGCGTTAATTTTGGAGTGCAGTGTAGTATGGTATCGATTTTTTTACCTTTATTTCGATTAAATAGATGCCGTAATGTCGTTTATCCCAATTTCAATTTTAGTTCCGTCACAGATTTTAGAGTTGACTATAGATTTAAGTAGTATAGTTTAGTGTTTTCTGTATTAAAAGAATATTGGTAAAATAACAATAAATATCTAACAAATTTTATAACAATATATGCAGAGGTACTTACACTGGCAGTTCTTTCCAAATAATTGACGCTTTGTACAACACCGTACTTATTACTTTCTATCTTACTATCATTTATGACCCATTCCCCTGGAAAAAATTCATGATCGTCCAAAGAAATAGAGTAATAAAGATGAGTAGAAGGTATATCCTTTTCTTCGGTACCGTCTTGCCACACTACATTTACTTTTGATTCTACACATATCACCTAAAATAAGCAAATTGTAATAATAATATAAAAATATATTAAAAAATATTGATTTTTATTTTATATTAATTTTTACTAATAATAATTGTATCTTATATACAATTTTTTGTTTATTTTTATTTTAATAATTGTAAATACACAAAAAGAATTCCCATAATTAAAGTGTATTACAAATAACATTCTCTTGTGACTCTTCTTATGTATACACAATAATAATAACCAACAATTGATGAAAACACCTGCTGTAGATATGGTGATATATTGGAGTAAATTGCCCTAAGGGTAGATAGCAGGTAACACAATCTAACGAGATCTTTTGAGCGCAATCCATTTTGTGTGTGTACACTATCAATCATTTAGTACAGTATGCTATAAACTATATACGATATTTATATACCACATTCTGTTTTTATTTTTATGCATACAACCGTCACATATAGCGAATGTCGTAAAGATTATTTGAATGTGGTTGATATTAAATTAAAACAATCAATTCGCAGACTCGTAACTCATATACCATGCGCTGACAGTGTACCCCCCTTATTAACTTATTTATTTTTAGCACGTAAGCAAACCGCTTCAGGTGACAGTCATAACTTTGACTTTTTTAAAAATGTGTATAATACTTTGGTTTGAAAATTTATAGAATTTAAATTATGCGAGAAAGAATTTTAATAAAGGTAATGGATTTTGACAAGAGCTGTGACCTTGTAAATAACAGGTAAACTTGTGTACTAAATCGGCATGACTCATAGCTCTTGTTAAAATCCATTACATCTACGTACCTTGCAACAATTTAATGAATTATTGTTCGTTTGAGTTATTTCTTATTTAGATGATAGAAGAGATTTTGTTTTAAATAGAACAAATTGCAGAGAATAAGAAGGTAAAACTTATTTACTTTTTGGCAGTAATACAATATATTTCTTCTTTCTTCTCTAACTTTTTGCAACATCCTTTGATCAATAGTACGGCATTCTGAGATAATTCTTTGGCGTAGTTGGTCAATTGTATCTGGTTGTGTCTGATACACTTTAAAGTTAAGTCAGATGAAGTTGGTGGCCACTCTATATGTCCCCGTCGGCCAATCCATCTTGCCAAAAACATATCTAGATAATTTTGCACCCTGGCGGCATAGTGGGGCATAGCTCCGTCTTGTTGAAATATGACGTTTTGAGGAAACTCTTGCGAATGATTTGTAATTATATTATATAGCGTTAATAATGCGTTAAAGATAATTAGGATTTTGTGTAATATTATTTGTCATGATTTCACTATATTCCATCCGTCTATCTAGGGCATCCTCTGTTAATTCTTGAAACATTTTTTTTCGTAAGGATGAAATTTATTTCTGTTCAGAATCTTTACAATTTTTTTCTGATCTACTTGATAAACCTGAGCAACAATTGTAGTAGAAGTAGATGGATTAACGACAAACTCACATAGAAATCTATTTATCTTCGATAGACGTGTTCTTTCTGTCCGTTCTTATTTTGAATACTACCAGCCTCAAAAAATTTGCTCTGCAAAGTTTTTTGACCAGATCTAGAGGTGCGTAGGTACATTAGACACTTTCTCGCATTCTCTACATTCTGTAAATTTTCCAACCAAAGTATTATACATTTTTAAAATCAGTATTTAAAAACCTTTTAAATGAGGTGTCACATGATCTACAGATAGAATTTAACATCATTAAGCAAATAGCATTAAACAAGGGGTACAACGAAACGAAACGAACGAAACAACGAACAAACAATAAACAAAATTTTAAATCAAAAACTACATAAGAAAGCCCTGAAATTAGTATTTCCACCACCTGAGAAAAACCCAGTACCGCAAAGACTATAAAGTGTACATACATGTCAAAAATAGATCCCTTGAGAAAGGGACTCTGCCGAAATAGTTGTAGGGATAAGAATCTATAATAAATTTTGTGGAAGTTTTGGAAACAAAAGTTTTCAGTGTTTTATTGTTATATAAAATGAATTTCCATAAAGTAACAGTCGAATCAATCACATAAAGAAATTATCATTTATTTGTTTATCGTTTCAATTAAACTATAAAAATAAATAAATTAGATTCTATTCTGATTTAGAACATATTAAACTGATAACATGGATACTTTATTACATATTTATAATACTAACTTCTTTTAAATTGTGTCAGAATTGTTGTGATTCATTCCGAAAACGACTTTATGTAACAACAGCTCATTCATATGTTTTATTTGTAAATGCATTTCCAACGCAATACAATACAATAATTTGTTTATTTTAATGTTAAGAAAAATATTTTTCAGTGTACATGCTTTTCCGAGAAGGAAGTAATAAATCCACAAGGAAAATAAATTCCTACAGTTGGCTGTATACCATGTATCACAAAAAAGATGTTAAATCTTTGTAAGTTGGTATATTTAAAAACCCTTAAAAGGCCTATATCAAATTAACAAACGTGTTCGGAATATTAATTCCATCATCAGGTTAAAAGCCTAAAATAAGTATGAACCATTTAATTAAAGCAAACGTGATTAAAATACACCCATGCCTTAAGTGAGTACCAGCGTCCTGAGAGTAAACCTCTTCAAACGGACTTCAGCTGGTAACTGATTGACAAGATACCTATGAACGGTGTCGCAAACAAAATGTCAATGTGCCATGAAACAGTGTTAGTTATACATAATATTACTACAGCCAAACGATTCAAAAACTTTAGTGATGTTAAAAATGATAACAGCAATCCAGACGTTGGGATTTAAAAAAGTTTTTTTAATATTATTGAATTTTGGGTATAAAAGATGTAAAATTACCGATGGAGTTAAAGGTCATGTTTAAGAGAATGACGTATGCATTAGGCAGCCTATGTTACTCTTTGTAGTATGGAGAGTGGTCTAAAAAGTGTAAGTTGTGACTGATTAGCTTAGATATATGATATTGTCCTTTATGTTGATCACATCTAGGACAAGGTAAAATTGATTTTTTTTTTGAATTAATAAATGTTTGTAGGGACGAATAATTTCAAAAAAAAACAGCATACAATACTTATTTTAATAAACTATGTTCGTGAACAACGACATCAAACGCTTACCTCAACAGCTAAACTATTTCCAGGTACTAAATCTCTTGGTTTTGGGGGATAGTGTTTGTTCTTAGGTTTGGAATTGTGACTAATCTGAGACACGTCGGCATCCTCGGATTCTTCGGACTCTTCGGTCCACCATTCTTCTTCATCATTGTTAGAAATCACCTCTTCGTTTTGAGAATACACTAATGCAGAGCGGCTAAGTTTTGATAATCTAGAGCTGGAAAAATATAAAATACAAATTAAAAATTGTTTGGGACTCATATGAATATGAGGGACTTACATTTTTGAATTACAGCTAACGATGTGCCTCACTTTGGGTAGTTCAGGTCTATAAACTAATGACAACTTTTTTGTCCAGTCTTTTTTCTTTAGAAGAATATCACTACTGGAAAGCTTTAATAATCTACGGTCTGTCAATTCCAGAAATGTATCACTGGCACGCTCCAGAACCTTTAAGCTGCAAAAATATTTATCTTTGAGTATAAAAATTGTTTATTAAATAGATTTATATGTCAAATGATACGAACAGGGACAAAAAAAAGAAAGTGTAAGACTAATTCGAATATAGATTACCCAGTAAAGGAAAAAAGAAACAATAGTATGGTATTATTTTTAGCTGAAACTTTAAATATACCTCGAATAGTTCTTCTCTGACCCTTATTTCAGTACTCAATTTCTTTGTAGTGTATTAGATAGCGTCAAAAAATTTCATACTCGTGACTATTTCTCAAAGAAAATAAGCATATTGCATCATCTAAATATATATATTGACATATTGAGACAACATATTTAGGTAGATACTTGATTAGTGAATATTTAAACGTACTATCCGTTGCAGGATAATTCGGATGGAATTCACCAGATTAAGAGACTGGCCGATATCAAGCGCAAAATGACTGTACTCCCTTAATGCTGTAACGAATATTCACCCTTAGTCTTTCGTTCCATTAGGTTGACCAAGTGTATTGGCGCAAGACCAAGACCAAAACTGTCTAAGTCTCGTCTTGGTCTTGCATTTGGGCAACACTAACGAGGATGAGGTCAAATTTGCAAAAAAGCTCAAGAGAAAGTTCGGAAACGTATAACCGTCGAAGATTCTGACACCGAAGAAAGTGATCTTTCCAATATTGAAGAGGATACACCTTCCGAACTAAGTTCACAGGGTTCAATTCCTGATATCGACGACGTCGTGTGCATCTTTTGCGAGGAGTCTTATTCAAGTAATAGCAGAGGGGAATCTTGGGTAAAGTGTCATAGCTGTCTTTTGTGGGCGCACAATGAATGTGCCAGTGCAGAAACTGAACATTATATCTGCGATTTCTGCCGATAGATTTTTGTATTCCTTTTTATTTGTATTTTATTAGAGTGATACTGACAGTTCACAGTATTCTAGATACTGACAAGAATAATTTTTGTATGTTAAATCTTGTTTTTTTTTATATTTTATAATAGTACTGTATTAGTATTAGACTAATAGTTATGTGGGCCAAAATTAAAATTTAAAAATGTTGATAGTTTATAATCTCCAGTCGAAAAACAAATTAAGGGGCCATATTCTCCCATAAGTTAAAATTTTTACTAGAATATTCGAGAATGAAATAAATGGTCATAACTCCTAAAATGCTTTTATACATAAAGATAATTTGTTGGTTAACCACAGCTATGAACTGCATTAATAATTTTAGGTATATAGTTAGCTTTAGTGAACATTTATTAACACGTATTTAATGAAAGTGGTTTAAGAAGATACCCCAGAAATACAATTTTTTATTTCATAATCTAGTTCATCTTCTGAAATTGTAGTAGGTTCAATGTTTTATAACATGGTTTAGGTAATTTTTCAAAAGTCCATTGTTCTATACTTATTCATAACCTTTATAAATCAATATTTTAACGGCGTTTTGTTTGAAACTTAAAATCCTAGAGGACCGTTTTATTTCACGGAGCCGTTTTATTTCACTCCACACCATTTCTATTGGGTTCAGTTCACAGTGATAAGGCGGGAGTCTAAGATGTGGACATCTACGCGGTATTATTCGTCACTGGGATTTCTGTAGTTTTCAATAATACAATAAATTTTGTATTTGTCATAAATATTTTTAAATGCATGAGCAGTTTCCGGAAGTTCTTTTTTAAGTACCTAATCTTCTTCAAAATAAATATCCTTTTCATTTAAGTCGCTCTTTAATTTGAGGCTTAACACAATATTTTTTGGGAAAATTTAGTTTCCTAGAAGATAAGATGCATTGTCCATTACAATCACATTCGTTTTATTTTTTATTTATTTATTATTTATTATTCGTATTAATATCTCTTCAAACCATTTTTAAAATAGATGTCCGTCAATCTCTTCATGATAATCTTTAGTACCTTTAGTACGAAAGCCTGTCCTCTACTTTTTATTGTTGTATCTCGCCATATTTATCCATTGGTGGTTCCAGAATTTAACCCACGCCACGATTCGTCCATATAAATGATATTGACTCCTCAGTTTCTTCATTTCCCTAAGGTCGTTTACGCCTCCAAGTGACTATTCTTGTTTTTCTATTAATATTAAATTTCTCCCTTTTTTCCATAGATAAAACCCATATCGTGCAATAGTCTTCTCAATGTACTCTTAGAAAAATTCGAAAGATGCTTCGTTTCGTTAATTTTTTCTAGTATTACGTCAAGGGTTCGAGGAATGTTGTCCATAAAAAACCGTGCGCTACTTGTTTTATTCTAGAGTGAGTTACTTCATTGTATTTATTCTCACGGCTATTTGAATAACCGGTTCTTTTTTCTTATGGGAGTTAGGAGTGACGTGACCCATTTTTACTTTCAACTCTATATCGGAATATCGTGCGCTCAGAGACTTCAGTAATAGCAGAAACTTCCCGCACTATCGTTGATGCACTTGTATCATTGTTACTATTTTACAAATAGTTAAAAACATTTAACACTATTTTTATGCATTCGATATTTAACAAATTACCGTTTTTGAATTTTATTACACTTGGGGCCATTTTGACATTGACAAGACACAAACGTCTGACATCAACTGAATATCCTTTTCATGATTCCCAACATTTTGTCTACCTAAAATTATAACTGCAGACATTTTTTTCTAGTATACAAGTCTAAATTATTTTTAATGTCAGTAATTATTGTAAATTCAGGTAGAGAAAGTTTGGAGTCATTAAAAGGATATTAAGATCAAAAAGGGATTATACAAATAATTAGTTCATTTCCACGCAATTTCCAGTTGCAAACAATTTTGAAGAATAGGTATAAAACGAAAAGACCAGGTTCCCGAAATATAATGTTCTATTTTTAAAATATTAATAGAAAAATTATAATTAAAAAAAATCACAAAATTCCTCAAATTATAATGCTTTTATAGGAGCCGGCCGATAACATCCGATTAAAAAATTAGACAACATTGTGGTTATTTTTGAATTATAGAAAGCACAGAGCTATCTTTGTAACGCTGGTATCTGAATATGAATTTCAGTATAGTAAAATTGAACTTTTTCGCACCATAAAAGGTTTTTACAAATTTTACTATATTTCTGTAGCGCTCACTGATGATTATGTAGTCAATTTGATTTCAACGATATTAAGAGGTGTATCTGCTGGATGCTTCCTCGTATATAATCTCAGTTTAGGTAGTTTGAAAAAGGTATTCATTATACATAGATTATATTCTTTGCAAAAATCTACGAAATAGTCTCCCCTTTCATTTCTACCGCCCAGTCCAAAATCTCCAATAATGTTACTTTGTCTACCTTTTCCTATCTTAGTATTAAGGTGCATCAGAATCATCAGCATCAGAATGGTGATATCTCTAGTCTTCAGTTGGTCAGTAACAGAACTATAACAATAACTAGAAGTTATTCTAGTTCACTTTCTTTTGTCCGTGCATACACTTTTATTGAATTTATGTCCCTTTGTTTCGCATTCAACTGAATAATTATAACTCGTCAGATACCTGGCATGCAGCGCTAACACATTTGCTAACCTCCCTAGCGACAATGCATCCTACACTATTACAATGATAATTGCTGTCTTTTCCAGAATAATATACTTGGTGATTATCCACATTACATTGGCCAGATTCGGGCAACTCATCTCATTTATTGCATTATGTATTTTCCGGGTTCATATAAATTCCTCACATTCCATGTGCCTGTTCTACAACTCATTTCGATATCAAATTTGACTAAGCTGGAGATTCTTCGCACATCTGCCTCATTTAAGAAGCGCCCGTGCTTATCATTGGGGCCATCATTTAGTTCCTCAGAAATAATAACATTCCTGTGAAATATAGTGTAGTAATCATTCCCTTGGCTTTCTACACCTCTGTGTATAGGATGCTTAGGTGGTTATCGGGTACTGTTATGTATTGACCGTTCTGGTTTACTGAAAAATACTGAAAAACCAGTTGCCGATTTCCAGGTCTGATTTTATACAATCACTAAAACCAGGAGGCTGCTACTTCCGCCCTCAAGCCGGTGCGAAGACTTTCTTCTCTGCCAAGGATGCCGTTGGGGACTTCATCCACAACCCTGTACAAGGGACCCCTTTCTGGACCAGGAAACAACTGGAATCTGCGGATAGCAGGGATTCATTCACTTCCCTTGATAGGACTATTAGAAGCAGATCCTACCCGCTACCGATACCAGCCGATATTATACCCATTGGCTAATACAATCCTGAAAGCTGTCAAATTTGTGTCAAATTTCACAGAAAAAAAGGGTTTGAGGAAGGAACTATATTACTATATATACTTAAAAGTGTAAAAACATTTTAATACGATAAATATTATTTAATTCTCGCCATGTTTTTATATACTTACTTCTTGATATCAGCCAGACCTATTTCTGACAGATGCGAATATCCATGTGTATTGTTGTACCAAGCAATCTCAATCAAGACATCTTCAACACTTTGTACTGTAAATCTTTGTCGGCTTTGAATATTCCTTTTCATCGTTTTTGATTTCTTTATCCAATGGGCTTGTTCAAAATTATTCGGTACACATATCTACAAAAAAACATTTACTTCACATCGATAACTCATTTCACATCATCTCAATATCTACAATTGACTCTTAAAATTTACCAAGAACATAATACCTACACATGAATACTTATTAAACACAAAAAAGTCTTACAATATAACAAATAATTCGAGCCTAATATATGATATATAAATATTTAATACTTAACAATGAACTGAGTTGAACTTGGACTAACCTACTGAAATTAGGAAATGCATGAATTGGTTTGTATATCTACCTATAAATAACAATGTATCGTTCCCGTTATAAAAAACTAGTACCTACAACTCTTATAACCGAAAATCGTGTTTTTAAAGTTGTGTAAGTTGAGCTTGTCACATGTGTCATTCTAATTTCGAAGGCAACGTTGCCAGTTCTACGAAAATATTATATCAAACCAGCTAAAAGCAGGGCTGTGCGACAGGTTGCAAGTTTTTAGTATACTAAAAACTAAAACAATGTCGAGCATTCTCGATCAGTCAGTCACATTTATATTTATACATTTATTTAAATATACATCTTAAAATTTTCTATTAATTTTAAAATTTTCTATTATCTCAGTAAGTACCCATACATTGATTCGTGTTTTATTATAATTTATGAAAATATTTAAATTCAAAAATAATTATAGATAATAAATCTAGACATGACTTTAAATTTATGTTTAATTTCAAATCGAGAGTTGTGATTGTTTTATCGTAAAGTGTAGCACAAAACTGTATTGAGTTGTGGAAAACTACAGTAAATAAAACCCACTGAAAAAAATTAAAGTTTAATTTGAAATTAATAAAAAATGAATAATTTTTACAGTAAACAAGTGTGAGATTTAAATATATGTATTACAATTAAAAAAGTTAATATTTTGTCATAGCTCCATTATTATTTATCACTTCTTGTAATCTTCTGGGAACTGAGTTATTTAAATTTAGTGACAAATTTTCATCTTCGGCCAAGCTTTCCCAGGTTTCTTCAATGATGGTCCATAAATGATCTCTATTTTGGGGAACTACATTTAATTTTTGTATTTTGTTGATCATAAATCCCCAAACGTTTTCTATTTGATTAATATTTGGACTTTTCGAGGAAATGGAAGAGGATCAATGGTATTTTTAATAAGGTAATCCCGTACACGGTGGGCTGTGTGGATTGAACAGTTATGCTGGAAAATAAAATTATTGTTGGGGAAAATTTTCCTAACCGATGGCAACATCACAGAATCGTCCCTAAATTCTCCAACACATTCCTAAACCTCCTCTATACAGCCAAGCCCAAACATTTATAGAGAACCGTCCGGATGAAATATAGTTTTCGTTAAACCTATTTCGAAGCAGTCTATAAACCCTAATATGGCCATCATAATGAGACTGGAATACTTTTTCATCAGTTAAAATTACACGTTCCCAAAAATTGACTGGATCATTTAAAACGTAATTTAAACAAATAGGAGTTGACTTTGTTTATGTTCCTCGCTTAATTTGTATTTTTGGGCGGCTGCACAAATTTTTAAATATGGTATTCTAATTCTCTTTAATGCTGTAGTTATAAAAGCATTGTAAATTGTATTAGGTTTTGCTTGCCTTGTTGTTGTTGGGCTGTAGTAATAACTGGTCTCCCACTCCCTCACTTTCTATTCAAAGTCTGCTCGTTTTTCCATCTTTTTTTAATGTTGTGGATTGTGGTTTTGCTTCTATTTAATTCTTTAGCCAGTTGTCGAATAGACCAACCATCTTCTATTTTTGAAATTATTCTCGTTTTATCAAACTGACTTAACTGACGTCCATCCATCCATCCAATGGCACTACAGCCCAAGCCGGGCCTTGGCCTCCTTCATTAAACCTCTCCAAACATCTCTATTTACTGCTGTTCTTTTCCATGAACGCGTTTTTAGGAGATTTTTGGCATCCTCATCTACCTCGTCTTCCCATCTCTTTTTTGGTCTTCCAACAGGTCTTTTTCCTTGCATTCTTGCGTTTAGTAATTTTCTGGGGATTCTGTTCTCATGCATGCGGGCCACATGCCCTGCCCATCGTAATCTCTGCAGTCTAGTGTATTGTGCTAGTGTTGGTTCAGTGTATTGTTCGTATATTTCGTTATTATATCTAATTCGCCAGTTGTTATTTTCCTTTATTGGACCCAGTATTCTACGCAATATTTTTCTTTCGAACACGTCTAATGCATTGGTAGATTTCTGTGTTATAACCCATGTTTTACATCCATAACTTACTATGGGTCGGATTATTGTTTTATATACCCGGAGTTTTGTTTTCCGGTGTACGTCTCGCGATTTGAATATGTGTCCCATCGCGAAATAGGCTTTGTTTGCCAGCATAAGCCTTCTATTTATTTCCGGTTCTTCTTCATTATTTTCGACCAGATCCATTCCTAAATACGTGAATCTATTCACGTATTCTATATCGTCTATAAATTGCTGTTGTTGCGCCTGTCTATTTGATCTGGTTTGTATGAGTAGTTTTGTTTTATTTGTATTTATTGTTAGCCCTACAACTTCTGAACTCTGTTTCAACTGAACGTAGGTTTCTTCTGCCGCAGACTTAACTGACGTGGCATCTTTAAAAATTCACTTTGACAAACTTGTCAAATCTGACTGATGGCAAGCAATATTTTTTATGTTTAATTGTTCGGATATGTTCGGGAAGTTTTCACCCACTGATAACATCTGTAGATACTAAACCAACATTTTTCAGTTATAAGAGGATTTCCTTATAAGAGGATAATGTAATACTGTCACGTTTTAAAAAGCTTTTTTCGCCCCGGATATTTTATAGTTTATAATCTACGTAGGATAGAGTATAATGTTAGTTTTTCACGTTTATCGTTCATGTAATAAATAATAAATTAATTTAGGTAGTTTGACTGTTACTAAACTTATTGACATAACATACAGTTAACAGTTTGTGTTCTGTAAGTAATTGAAGTATAAAATTACAGTAGATGCATTCCAACATTTTGGACATTAGCTCAGTCCTCTTTCTGGTTACTAAATTATTGGATACGGTTTTTTGTTGTTAATAATAAAAATAGTAACTATTAAAAAACTTTATACATTTTTGAACATTATTTTTTACGTTTTACGTTTTATTTAAATTTATATTTAATATATAATAATATATAATAATATATAATAATATATATTTAATATTTCAAATTATAGACCAGCATCTGTCCTTAGAATAATTTCAAAAGTAATAGAGAAGATTGTATACAACAGAATGTTAAATTTTATAGAATACAATTTATTAACTCCAACCCAACACGGCTTTAGATTAAAAAAAGTCAACACTCACGGCTGCATGCAGCTTATTTGAGCATATTTATGATAAATTAGATAGTAGAAACCACGTGGCAGGACTATTTTTTGATCTATCACATGCTTTTGACTGCTTAGACATAACATTTATTCGCAATAAATTATATAACATTGGTTTTAGAGGGATATTTCTAAAATGGATAATAAATTTCTTAAGTGACAGGAAAAGTGTTGTTAAGATGAAAGAATCAAGCTCAGAACCATACACAACAAATAAAGGAGTACCATAGGGATCCGTGCTGGGACCATTATTATTGATAATTTGTATTAATGACCTACCAGATCACATAAGGGCACTTATAATATCAATGTTTGCTGATGACACCTCGTTAATAGTCTCTGCACGTACACTCGAGGAATTAAAAATGACAATGAAGACTGTTGTTGACTGCTTTATATGCTGGTGTAATACCAACAGACTAATATTAAACATTGACAAGACACAAATTATTTATTATCATTCATACAACTCATCTAAATATGACTATATCTTACCATCCATGATAGAAACAATATGTTATCTTCCACTCACTCTACAAAGTTTTTGGGTGAATTCAGTGAACATGAAATTGAATAAAGCTTTTTATGCTATATCTAGAATTAAAAACACACTACCCATCTCGGCAATAATGAACGTTTACTATAGCCACATGTGCTATAATGTAATTTTGTGGGGGAACTCAGTAGATAGTAACAAAGTGTTCATTAACAAAAAAAAAAAATTATCCGTAAAATTTTTAATTGGGATTATCAACAGTCTTGTAAACCAGTTTTTATTAAACATCAAATTTTAACTTTCTACTGCCTATATATCTATAAATGTTTACTTTATATCAAAGAGGAAATCAATATATTTCTAGTAAATTCAGACAATCACTATTCCAATACAATAGTGCTGAATCTTTACGAGTTCCTAAACACAAAACATTCAAATTTCAAAATTGCTTCAGATATATGGGACTGACCTTATACAATCATTTGCCAAAAACTGTGAAAGAAATACCACATATCTCTGAATTAAAAAAAAAATGTTTTACTCTTAAGAAAAACACATTATTCTATAAATGAATACCTTGAGAACAAACTGCAGTAGCTTCATATTTTACTTGTAAAAATGTTATTTTATATATTTTATGTTTTGTCAATTTTTTACACTGTGAATATTTTATTATACACATTAATGTTTTTATACTAAATTCTGTAGTGACGTATCCTATACATTTATTTTGAATGTCTTAAATGATCAATAAAGATGACTATGACTATGTGATGGCAACAACGAATTGATTCACGAACCATTGTGTCCAGTCTGAACACAGGTTTAAATTGGAAAAAAAAAGTGTACCAGTTTTATATGACGGGAAGTGTACCTAGATTATGATGATCATTGCAGTATTATTATATATTTGAGTAAGTTATTATTCATGCTAGTCAATAGCTTTGTTATTGTTTACAATTTGACTTACTACCCTAAAGGAACCTCATTTCAACACCAACCTATTTAACAGCTCATAACGATCTCTCCGAACTAGGAGAAAAAATTGGAAATGGTTAACAAAAATTGGAAAAAAAAGCAAAAATGAATGTGAAAAGACACAGTGATAGTATGTAACTAAGAATTTAGATTATTTTTATGAATACTTAATACGAATTGTTTTTATTATCGATTATAGAATTTTTTTATCTATATTATCTATATTTTTTATCTATATTATCAAGCATATATTATATATTTTTCTGTCAACACTTTTTATATGAAGCTGAATACTAATATTTTGTCAACGATATCTAAATGATTTTTTTTCACGGAATTTTAACTGAAATTTGTAGTGGAGACAACAGAACCCAAAGGATGTAAAATATTAATTAACAAAGAAATAATTGAACCAGTCAAGATTTAGGAGTAGAAATATGCTTAGGATACGAGTATTTGTAAGGTTTAAAATCAACCAGACAACTAGGAGGATCCTTCAAAAGATGGCAAAATAACAGGTAGTTAATGTTACAAATACTGTGAGATATTCGCTACTCAAACTAAAGGGAAGTTGGGTAAGTAGGATGTAGGAAATATAGTAAAAAAAATATTCTGTCAGGTACTATTACAAATTGTTCAATATACTGAAATAGTTTAAAATTCCAAAAAAGGTGATGTTACAGCTAAACATTTTAAGTTGACCATATTTATGTCAAAATTAAATAACAGTGTTGAATTTTTTATGTTTTTTATGATTAGATATGCTCTTTCCTTTTCACTAAACTTCCATTTAATTTTATTAAATTCACCTAATTCAACATTTTATTCTAGCTGTCATTATGAACCACTATGGAACTAGAAAATGAGGTACTTCCATCTTGACTTATTCAATACACTTTAAGTGATCACGCACAGGTAAAGTATTACTGTCCTAAATGTACCTAGATAGGTTGAGGTTTGAACACTCATACTATATCGATATTTATTAATATCAATGACACTTTAATCATATTTCTATTTGTCCAATATACTTACCAGTTCTTGTCCAGGATAATATGCATCAAAAGATATCCTGTTTCTTTTTGACAGCCAATAATCATCCATGTCATGATTAATACTAGTTAAAACTTCTACTACAGATCCACATTTCGATTGCATAGCTACCATTTGTTCTACAGTCTAAAATAAATATCTGATAATATACTACAAACTCTTAAACCCCATTGACAAAGCAATCTATAGTAAAATTCAATAAGCGATGCAGGAAAATCTAAACATTAAATCGTGTCCGAACCAGTTTGACCCGCCGATAACGTCGCCAGACGAAATAAAGATGGACATTTCGGTTGGTTTTTAAATATTTTTGAAGAACTGTTACTTGCATTTATGCATAAAATATTCATTAATTTTATAAATCGGATTATTTTTTCACTTACTATGTATTCAGTGAAAACATTAATTTATTTACTATGCAATAAACACGAATATTTGAGAAAAGAAAAAAAAATACTAAAGTGTCATAATTATACTGTTACTTATCGGAACGAGTAGACTCATTTGGAACACCTTTAACAATTATCTGTTAAATTTATCGTTGTTTATATGCCCTGCATCGCTTAATGGAATAAGGTATAGACATATTTATTTATAAGTGTTTAGACATTTATAATTAAAAAACTTACTTCAATTCTACCAAATTTACTGCCCAAACAAACAGCATCATCTACATCAAAAGGTCTTACACCATGCAGTCTATCACTAGATACATGTTCAATAACTTTATCTGTACCAACAATCTGTACAGTAGCTACTTGTTTGGTTTCTTTGCAATATCCTCTTTGAGTTTCTTTTCCCTTTTCTAATCTTCGGACAATATCTCCAGGTATAATACTTCTGTTTACCAAACGAACTTTACTCTGCCTCCAGACCTAAGAATCATTTGAATATTTTTTACCTACCTAGTAATAAATACTAATTCCTAAATTAAGTATTAAAGTAAGAATTAAAAATATTACCACTATTAGCATAATATATGTATTATCATGTCTTTCCTTGCATACTTTAGAAGCAAAATGAATTTTAATTAATATGTGTTTTTTGTATAGTGTTATTAACACTGCCATTGATTGCCCACAATTATTGTCACTACTTATGTTAAGTCTTCCATTCAGAAATATGTTAAGACATCTCTATCTTGTCATTATGCTCATAATTATACAAATGAACCTCTGTCTCACTTAATACTTAAATGTAATTACCTAGGAAACGAAATTAACAATTTTGATTCCAACATTGATAAATTTAAAGAGACTTAAAGAACCTGTTATGATATAAAGCATTCACTGAGCTTGGTAATATTTTCAAAAAGTCATAGTAAGAAAAACACAATAAAAGATGTCCTAAACAGTTTAATAAAACAGAAACAAAATTACTTTTCAAAAATTACTGCTAGGACCAAATGATATAAGAAAAAATTTATTATCAACTGGCATAAAGAATATTTATTACGGGTTCGATTTATATATAGTTCTGATTGTTAATATAAAAAATTGCACCTGAAAATGGTATCACAGACTGACTAAATATCTTAAGAATAAGAAAGTTCAAAGAATCAATAAAGGAATTTAAATAAATTAAATTGCCTGTAGGTTTCACAGAAAAACTGTTTGTTTTTAACTTTTTTTTTGTGCCAACACATCAGAAACTGGTGTATCTGGCTGTGTCAAGTACTTAATATTTAAAACTTTGGTATTTATAACTAGAAAAGTCCTATAAATAAGGAACAGCTCTAAATCTACTTTTTACATCAGATTTAATCATAGTTAGCTGGTTTCAATTACCTTTTTAGAATGGCATCAATTAAAATGATGTCATAAATTAAAGTAATCTTTGTACAAACCTGTTCTCTAGAGTTATTATTCCATAATACTCTAATTTGTCCCTTTTGCAGGGCATGGTATTCATCAACATCAGAACAGGCTTCATAACTATCAACAACAACTCCAAAAATTATTCTTTTATGCTTATCAAATCTATAAACAACATCATTTGTATAGAATTCTTTAACTTTTTCAATATTTGAATTGGACATTGTTTCACTCAATACTGTTCTTTTTCTTGAGCAGAATAAAACTTTAAGTAATGTATTTCTAATTGCTTTTATATATATTTTTTATTACATTTCTTCAATAGCGCATGACAGACTGCTGACATTTAGTATAAACGATACAAAACTAATAAACAAAAAATGAAAAAAAAAATCAGGAAGGTTTTGATTCTACTTAGCATGCCGGCAACCGCTGGATATTGGTGTTAAAAGTATTTAACGATCTGACTTCTAGTTCAGGATACACTACGTATTAAAAGTTAAATTATTATTGGAAATGTTAGAAATTTATAAAACACAATTTACACAATTTCATTAAATGATAATATATTAATTAGAAATTTTGACGCAATCGTAATTCTAGACAGAACAAAATTTAGCACTTTATTTTAAACCTCTCGTATTAGAGGAACAACATAACAGATATGTGTAATATTGGTTTCCTAATCAAAATTTAATAATTTTAATTTATGATTTTCCTATGAAAGAACTAGAATTAAAAAATAATAAAATGTAAGTACTATGGTACTATTTTGAAACTTTGAAGTTTATATAAAGATTATATATATTCATAGGGTTATAATATTATATGGTATTTATTAGCCTGCTGTGTTTAATTTTTATTATTCTTAACTATTTGTTGTTTTCTTTTTTTTGGTCCTCAACTATATTAATGTTTTGTCGAATTTCAACTTTAATATTTTTTGAAAAATCATTTCATATAATCATAATCAAAACTCATAATAGATATAAACTTTTCCAGGAATAATGCCTGATAATAATGCAATGTTAATGACTTAATCTGATGTTTGATTTTGGTAGATATCAGTGTCATTGAGAACCCAGACAATTTGTATGTGTCTCCATAAGCTACTAAAAATGTTAGATCGAAAAATAGAACAATTGTCCTTCTTTTTTGATATGGGCAATTCTACTTGTTTAATGGCGGACTAACACCTCTAGGGCCCAGTTTTTATTCGTGAACGCCCGTTGGTTCGAGGGAAGCTTTATTTAGCGTGCAGATCTTGTTTCAGAAATGTAGAGATGTCAGCTGTAATGTTTTTGCATGCCTGATTGACTACAAGAAGGCTTTCGATAGAGTCAGGCATGAACAAATTATGGAAGTGCTGAAGAGGACAGGGATTGATGGAAGAGACTTAAAAATTATAGCTAATCTGTATTGGAATCAATCGGCGGTACTCCGAATAGATGGAGAATATACAGATCAGGTCAAAATCTTAAGAGGAGTGAGACAGGGGTGCATAATTTCACCACTGATATTCAATCTGTAATCGGAGCACATTTTTGAAGAGGCCCTAAAAGATATTTATGAAGGCATCTCAATAATTGGAGTCAAGCTCAATAATCTGCGGTATGCAGATGATACAATAGTGTTTTCCAATACCATAGAAGGGCTGCAGAACTTAATGAACAGAATAACGGAAACAAGTAGAACATATGGACTGGATATAAACACCAGCAAAACCAAGCTAATGATCATCAGCAAGCAAAACATAACTGGAGCAAATCTGTATGTGAACCAAATGAGAATTGAACGTGTCTCACAATACAATTACCTGGGAACTATAATCAATGAGTCGCGGGACAATACCCAAGGGATTAAATGTCGCATCGGAAAGGCCAAAAGTGCATTCTTGACTATGAGCTCTGTGTTCAAAAGCCATGACTTCACCCTGAAAACAAAAATAAGGCTCCTTATATGCTACGTGTACTCAGTGCTTCTGTATGGAGTAGACACGTGGACATTGAAGGCGGAAACTCTATCAAAACTTCAGGCTTTTGAATTATGGTTATACAGAAGAATCCTGAAGATACCATGGACAGACAAAGTCACTAATGAAGAAGTACTGCGGAGGATGAACACAACCGCGGATTTGGTCAACATTGTGAAGAACCGTAAGCTGAAGTACTTTGGACATATAATAAGAAACCAAGGCAGATACGAGCTACTCCAATGCATTTTGCAGGGTAAAATTGAAGGAAAATACCCCCGGGCCGAAGAAGAATATCCTGGCTTGCTAACCTGAGAGCATGGTATAGAAAGACCTCAACACAGCTATTTCGTATAGCAACCAAAAAAATCATCATAGCCACAATTATCGCCAACGTTCGGAACGGACAGGCACCCTAAGAAGAATTATACCATTCCTTTTTTATATTTGGTATCCACTCATATGTTACATTGTCTTCTAATGCTGTGGCGCATGGTTTTTTTGGGGGGGGGGGTTGGGTTAAACCCCCAAATTGAATAATTAAATTACCACTTTAAATATGTAGAACACAATATTATTGTATAAATACACAATAATTAATATACAATAATTAATAATATTTGTCATTATATTTTCATATAGATACCTAATATTAGGCTTATGAAAAAGTAGACAGAACGAGTCTGTTGCGAGTAGAATGCGCTTACAGGACTGTATCTGCGGCGGCCTTGTGGACTATCACGGTTTGTGTTCCTCTGCATGTGTTAGCAGTAACAAAGAGACATTCTATGAGAGAAGAGAGCAGTTGACAACAGCTATAAAAAAGAAGAGAGGGAAAAATAAATGGAAAGTTGGCAAGAAGAGTGAAACAACAAGGAATATGTTGCCCAGTGGACCAAGATGCTGATCCTGAGCCTAAGTGACTGGGTAGATTGTCTGTTTTAGAGCGTATCTTCATAGGTTTAGAAAAACAGATAAATGCGTATTCTGGGAATATTCCGACATTGTTACTCACACAATGCTGGAGTGTAATAGATGTACAATAGAGAGAAACAGAATGTATAAAGAAATAGATATGAACCCTGTGACTGTAACAGAGATGATCGTGAAGATGACGGGAAGTACGGAGGGATGAAATAGTGTTCACAATTACATCCGAGCAGTCATTAAAAAGAAAGGAGAAGAAGAGAAACACCAACCGGGCTAACGACAGAGATAAGATGATCTTTGCGGATGATCAAGTCATCCTAGCTCAAGAGAATATTTAAAATGGGAGTTACAAGTCAGCATGAAGAAAACAGAATATTTAGTTATCAATTCAGATACAAGGTTTGAAGTCTTGATAGACGAGGACGTAGTGGAAAAAATTAAATATTTAGGTGCACTCGTTGCTAAGAACAGCTTGGGAAAAACCGAAATTAAATACCGAATTAATCAGGGACGTAAAATTGTAGGATGTCTAAACTCCTTATGGTAGGATCTCAATATTTCCAAAAGGAACAAAAAAGAATAGGGTAAACCATAGTTGAATCAGTTCTTTGTTATGGCTCTGAAGTATGGGCAATTAATGCATACCTGAAGAAAAGATTTTTGGCAGTTGAAATGGATTATTTGAGAAGAACTGCTAGAACATCAAGGCTGGAAAGAAAGACCAACGAATCTATAAGAAATAATATGAATGCTACAGAAACGGTCATTGACAGAATGGAAAGAAGAGATATAAAATAGTTTGGACACCTATTGAGAATGCCCGACGAACGTTGGCCCCAAAAACTTCACAAATGGAAGGCCCCGGAAGAAGAAAAAGAGGCAGACCTCGACGCTCATGGAATGAAGGAATTAGAAGAGCGATGGAATCGAGAGATTTGGAGAAGGAGCATGAATTCGACCGGGAGAATTGGCGGAGGAGAACGGAAATACCACATGCTTCAGCTTCTAAATGCCAGAAGAAAATAACTTCAGAACTATAGATAAGATCTAGATAAGAGAAGGGAGTGTTCCAAAAATGTCGTCAGCCTTACAGAGGCCAACCCACTTTCGGAGTACGGTACGTGTGAGAGTCAACTGCACACAAGTAAGAGAGGGTGGCTTTAGCTGGTAGGCAGGATAACAGATACCTGAATCTTTGGCTTTAGTACTGTAAATTAAACTAAAACTCAAATTTTAGGCTCTCAAAATGGAGGTAACATAAAAAAATTCAACCCCCCCCCCTCCGACTAATTCTAGGTGTGCCACTATTCTGATGGCATTACCCCTATTTCGGTATTTCCTGTAGTTCTTCTCAGTATCCTAATTTACGCCTTTTCTGTTAGCGTTTGTGCTGTGTTTGGTCTCGTTTTAGATGTATACGTTATTATTGGTCTTATGCTAAGTTAAGTATTATGTTTATATGGCTTAAAACTGAATTGATTGTAATGAAAATTAAAATTAAATTTTTAAGTAACGTTTAACGTTTCCATTTTCACTCCGGAATTCGTTAAAAAAAAACGATTATTTTAAAAACTACGGGAAAATGTATAATCAACAAGTTTTTCTTATAACCAACACCACCCTCACATTTTTGTCAACCAAAAGAATTGCTTACAAAATGGGAGCCAAGTAAATCAACCATAAATTTTAAAAAACATAACGTCTAAATCAAGATTGGGAATAGGTTGTGCTGTATGTATTCCAGATTACAAAGAATCCCTATGTTCAAGTTAGATAAACAATGCTCTATATACTCTGCAGAAATGTTCGCAATTCATAAAGCTCTAGAATGGGCTGTCAACAAAAAAATTTCTAACCACCAAGTTGTAATTATCTCAGATTCAATATCTGCGTTATTAGCTTTAGAAAACTCAAGTAAACATTTACATAAAAATAGTCTTTTAAAATTTTAGAAAACTAACTAAAGCTGCTGTAAGAACATACTACTGTACTGTACTTTCGTCTGGGTAAAGAGATACTTTGGTATTTCCGGTAACATTAAAGCAGATTTTTATGCTAAAAAGGCAATCTTAAAAGGATCAGAAATAACTTGGCTAGATAGAATCGATCTAACTGCCGCTTACAAGAAAAGTCTAAAACTAAATTGGGAAATTGAATGGTGTGGTTTCTGTAATCGAAGCAATAATCTTTATACAAAAATTCATCCAGTTTTACCTACTGAGCCGTTTGCCGTAAGAAGTTACCCCAATAGAAATATTTATTCCATATTTGTAAGATGTCTTTTTAACCATGCCACTGTCAAGACATAGCTCTATAGACTAAATCTATCTGAATCAGAACTTTGTGATTGCAATGGTTATGTTGATGATATTAATCATTCGCTGTTTGGATGCAAGCATAATGATAATGCAATTAAGTATTTGAAATACAGTCTGCCTCAAGAACAAATAC